TTTCGCAAATTACAGATTTACATATCTGTAATTTGCGAAACGGCGCACTTCTGACCTGGCTCAAAGTCTTTATTTATAAATCATTACTGCATCGAGTTGTATCTACGAATTGTGTTTACGAATCGGAAGAAATAAGTTATATATCGTTAGAGTCTTCGAAGAGCTGGTTTCGCAAAATACAGTACGGGTTTACTCGTTTCGTTTCGTTTCGTTTCGTTTCGCAAAATACAGTAAGCCGTACAAAACGCATCCCGTCTTGTCACGCTGGTGGAAAAGGATGCTCATTGATGACTCCATTTCCCATAATCATTCTCTTTCTAGAGACAGCCTACGTCAGTCTTCCAAAAACCATTTACACCCTGTTATCAGGTTGTATATTCGCCAAACTAGGTGCTCACAAGGGAATTTGTTTGTCAGGAATCTGGTCAGATGTGCGATGTAAACAAAATATGCAAATAATATGAAGAGGAGCGGTCCCCAAGGGGGCTCGCCCAGGTACGGGATTATGACACCTTCCTGATTTAATAACTGTTATTTGAATATACGTTTTTCTAAATAAATCGGACGCTTTTGTAGATCTTTGGGTCATCCTCGGTGTAAAAACCTGACGAGGTTTTCTTTGTTTCATGAGGTATTGTTTTACTGTACGCTATCGTCAATAATGTTTTGTTGTCTTCGTTTTACGTCACTCGTGAGCTTCACAGGTTTTTACACCGAGGATGAGCCAGATCTTTAATCTTTTTTTATCGAAAACGTTAGGTAAAATTTCTGACTTTCGGCATCTGGAGGTGGGAAGTAACCTTAAAGGGGGCTGCGAAAGAAACTGGATCAAGCTCGGTTTATAACGAAGCGAAAAACATTTCACTTTACCAGAACTCTTGGCATACATTTATTATGCATAGAGTGTTGCAAAGAAACCTTTATATTTAGTCTTTATGAAATGGAATGCATAATTAATGTATGGGGGTTGTATGGAAATCTTTCCGAACTCTTCTCGGTTGGAGAAGACCGACAAATTTCCTTTAGAAAATATCGAAAGGGAGTTTTGATTGTGTCATTGCTTTGAGAGAACAAGGTCGAACACTTCGGCTGTGAATTTCGAATACTCCTAACTTTACTGAGCGCACAGCACAAGCTCTCGCTATTTCCTTATAAACCTTACCAGCTCCATAAGCCATTGCTACTTACTTCCAGCCATGGACATTAGACATGACAAATCGAGAGTTTCTTCACGATCTTTCTCCATGAGAACTGAAACCAGCTCCGTTCAGGACCCCTAAATTTTAAATATGTGGAGAGGTTTGCAAGTGCCTACCACGTGCGGACAAACCTTTGAGAGCTTGAAAGCGAGATTAATGTAAATTTGCATAGCAATTTTAATTGGACTTTCTAACATGTTCCTATTCTAGCTATTCCTCAAAACTACCGTGGTTTGATTTGATCGATATACAATTTCAGTTGAAACTGATTTGTATCTGTACAGGCGAGAAAACTATCAAAATCGCGCAGCGAGTGCGGGAAAAAGAAAATTAATAAGTATGCAGGAATGATGGTGTCATTTACAAAAACACCGCGATAATTTATTACGTGTCTGTTGCAAAAAAAAAAAAAAAAAAAACAACCCGTGCTAACTCGTTTCCAGCGCTTTCTCTTTTAACGCTCTTTCCCAATTTTTCCTTGGAAAGGCCCTGGGAAAAAAAAAAGTTGAATCTCGCGGTATTCTTCGCTGTATCTCCTAAAATAGTTCTTTTAATCCTTGATTGTCAAACAAGTTCTCCTTAACAACACCTTAGGAATTGTGTAGAGAACAGTATAGAGAAGATGCATATTGATGTTGGGGTAAAATGGGGTTGAAATTAAGCTCTGCTATCCTTGTGACGATGAAATGAAGTCTTGAATGACTGTGAATATATGAGAATTATAGATATGAAATGCGAGTTAAGAAATGAATATCGAAGTGATCTTTGCAGAAATGAATACTACTTGAGCAGTAGTGAACATAAGGCCTGGATAAAATTCAGCGCCCATGTAGTTGGCTTGTTAACTCAGTTGGTCGAGCACTGCACTGGTATCGCAGAGGTCATGGGTTCAAATCCCGAAATCGAGATTCCTAAGTTGAACGGTCTTATTATTTTAAAGTGATGTTGGCTGTTACCATGCCTTTCGGTACATAAATTATTACGTATGCGTTTAGTTCTCCCAAAGGGATTAATATTCTGACCTTGGCAATGGGAAACGTTCGGCTTTTTTGTTCTTTGTTTGCGTCTCACACTTGATTAGTTTCAATAGCAATAACAGCACCAAACGCTGGCCGAACACGCACACGCCTCTACGAATTGTGAAAACCAGACACGAACTATTCCTCTTTTACAAAGTCTATGGAATCTCTAAGTTTACTGGCTGAGATCCTGCCTCTTGTCGCCCTGTTTCTTTCAGTTGTTTACTTCAGCGTCCTTTGCTACCGGTGGCCACGAAATTATCCTCCAGGACCTTGGGGTCTTCCAATATTTGGCAATCTACCTCAGCTCGGTTCCGCGCCGCATATTACCCTGACGGAGCTCAGCAAGGTCTACGGAGATGCGTTTTCCTTAAAGTTTGGCTCCAGAAAAGCAGTGGTGTTGAATAGCGAGGAGGTGGTCAGAGAAGCACTGTTGAAAAATTCTCGCCATTGTTCCAATCGACCACCGTTGTTCGCTGCTAGGAATGTCAGGAAAACTAGTATCTCTTTTGGAGAACGTTGCCCGGCTCAAGTCATTCGCAAGAGATGCGCCCTTAGAGCAATTCACCAAGTTGCGCTCGACAAAGAAGGATATTTCAATAAAATTGTCCAAAAAGTGTTTTTGGAATTCCAAGAAAGTCTGGCCAAGAAAGAAGTAAAAACATTCCAGCCGTCTGTTGAATTGAAGCTAGCTGTTATCAAAATCATGTTTCACTTTACGTTTGGAGAAGACACTGGCAATAACCAGTACACGAACGAAATGCAAAAACTGGTAGAGGAATCCGCCGAGTTTACCGAAAGCAGTGCCGCTTGCAGTCTGGTGGACTTCCTTCCCTGGATTAAGCCATTTATTCGCAAACAGGTGGCCATAGTGGAACACTCAATCGAGGGGTTGATGACATTTGTTGACAAAGCGTACACTAAAACTATGCGTAGAGAGAAGCCAGAGACTACCGATGATAACTGCATTGCTTTGAGTTTGGCAAAGCTTTGGGAGAAAGCTAAAAGCAAATATTACGAGGAGATAAAAATGGATTTAGATTTGGAAGAACCAACAGATCTTTCCAATTCTTCACCAAGGGGTAATCAATCCAACAACGGAAAGGAAGAAATTGTTAAAATGCTAGCAGCCGATATTTTCGGCGCAGGACTGGAGACGGTCTCAAATACCTTGTGCTGGGCGATGGCTTACATTATAAACAACCCACAGATTCAACAAAGCCTTCACCAAGAGTTGGATAACGCTGTTGGGCGGCATCGTCTTCCCACAATCCAAGATAAGGGAAACATGCCTCTATTACAAGCCACAGTATTGGAAGTTCTCCGCATTGCCTCTGTGCTGCCACTCGCTCTACCTCATCAGACATCTACAGAAACAACGCTGGGTGGATACACGATTCCAAAGGACACACTCGTCGTTATTAATCTGTGGGCAGTGAATCATGACCCTCGCGTGTTCAAGGAACCTCGTGTATTCAATCCATACCGATTCTTGAATGAAAACGGAGAGGTCTACGACGTTAAAACCAAGTTGCAGCTGCCTTTTTCGATTGGCAGTCGACGCTGTCTTGGAAGCTCATTGGCTAAGGCGGAAATGTTTCTCTTGTTGGCATGTTTGCTACAGCGTTTCGAGTTTTCACGCGCAAAGCCTGGCTTTGTAGATTTGGAGGGTCATTTTGGACTCAGCTTGCGCCCTAAAGATTTTAGTGTTTGTGCAAATCCTCGTTAAAGAAAAAGACAACTCGAACGAAGGTTCTAGATCTGTGATCTGTTTTTAACTCACTATCAGCTACACGATTCATTAACTCCGGAAACTCTAGAGACAACAGCGTCTGCGAGTTCGTCTTGTTACTTAGTGGCGCTTTTCTTTTTGAGCCTTTTGAAATAATTAAATATATACATATATATATGCATGTATAACATCTAGCTGCAAGAGTTTGTTATGCACATGGAATGCGGACATTTTCATCTTTGTAACCTACTTTATTTAGCAGTGGTGGTTTTTACAAAATTTGTAGCATTTCTTGCAATGTCTCAAAACATGATTTTGGAAAACGGCCAAAGTGCACTTGCAATGGTCCATAGCCAAAAGAACTTTTCAAAAAAGTGTTGATGCATGCATATACATATTGATTCACTTTATGGGTAGTTAATGTAAAACGCAGTCTTTCATCGATCGACAGTCATCTGAGGTACTATCAGGGCCAAAATCAAAGACTAAAATTTGATCAACTCCCGAAAGTTTTCGTTTACGGGGTAGAAAAGAGATTGCACCGTGTGGCTGTAGTTAAGGAAATTACTAATTTGCTAATTTTCTGGCTGTCTCGTTGCGAGAGGTCCATTCTGAAGGAAAAGATCACGAAAACGTGGAATTGTCAATGTAGGCCTCGGTGGGAGGTGCTCCAATCAAGCGCAAGTGACAAACACTTGGAATTGTTTGATGTAGAGCTCAGTCACCGACGTGGTTGGGTCAAGGTGATGACGCCTGGCTGACTAAATTTATGCTAAACATAGTTTAAATATTGTACTCCGCATTTACTATCAGGCAAGTACCAAGAGTATAACCAAAATCTTTTTCACTCTCAATCCAAGGCGTCGAAATTCGGTCTTCACCATTAGTCAGTGATGAAGACAGGACAAAATTAAGAAACGATTCTCGTGGTCGAATGTAACCCTGAGAGTTTTTAAAAAATAACGAAAGCTCCATCTTCTTCCAGGTTGTTTTCGAAAAAATAATGGAAATTCTCTGAATTACTCTTCGCTTAATTTCCCACAACTTTCTCGCATTTGAATCAATCTCAACAAGACCAAACTTGCTTGTTCACTAGTAGGGTAAAATATTTCGCAGTACCTTTCCATCGACGAAATGACTGTTTAGAATGATTACAAAGGCACCAATCTCTGATAAAAACCTTTAACCTGACTTTGCTTCTACCACGTATGTGTTTAGCATATAATTGTAACAAATGTATTATCTTTAGAATAAAGGCAGTGTTAGCGTTTCGCATCTCATTCGATTTCTTGCAAATAACAAAACAATTAGACTATCTAATCTCTTTTTGATACCTCAGTCATCGCGTCCTGGTGTGCTATGGAGTGCTTCTTTCAAGCTCTACACTGTTCATATCGAATACTGCTTTTTGCCCACAAACAAAGCAACGCAGCTTGTGTCATTCCTATGAATTTTTGGGTTAGGAACTCTGACTAAATAACCGCTGATTGTCGTAAATTTCTATCAGTCCTCCCGTGCATTTTGAACTATGCAATAATCAAAATGAATGAATCCATCCTGGATATCTATTCAGTAACACTTGATATCTAAATGTTACTAATGTAAAGTTAAAAGAGGACACCAGATGCACGTATCAGACAAAAATGGTATTGGGGTGATGCCAAATGAAAAGAAAGCTGGTTTATAACTTAGGTAACTGATTTCTTTCCATACAATGCTTCTATGTTTCTTACATAATTCTGTTATCCAACGTTGAAGGAGCTTTTTTTTTTTTTTAATAAACTGCACTTAAATAGAGCTTTTTTGTTTTTTAATAAACTGCACTTAAATAGTTATAGGAAAAACACCCTTTTTACATAATTTCAAACTCTTTCAGATGATTATTTAAGTGACAAAACAGTATTTTTTAAACCTATCTTTCAATACTGAAATCACGATTCGCAAGAGCGAGTGCCGGACAAAACAATGAAACATAAATGTTGAACTGACATCATAGACATCATAACACCTGTTTGCTTTAAAGAAGACTAAACTCAATCTCGCTAAACAATTGCCGCATTGTTGTAACCACTTCCGTTGTGTTAGCTTAATTGGGACAGGATAAAGTCACGATTGTATTGTTTACGAAATTTTACGGTTATATGGTCGCGTTAATTATCAGACTGACACATACTAGATTAGTCGAACTGAATTTTGCAACTCTAGTCAAGGTCAGACCACGGTAGGCACGTGTTACAGAAGCCTTTTTATGCAAAGGGCTCAGTTGGGGTCGTTCCGGTGTAATCTTCCTCGAAAGGATACGACCAATAAAGCGAATTAGGATTAAAAGTTACATAGACGAACTTCGAGAGTGTAGTACACCGGTAATTAATATAAGAATGGCCTCAACATCGGGTCTGGTTTCTGATTACCACGTGTTTAACGGTACTATTCTTTCCCACAATGTGAATGCTCGCAGAATTGGCTTAATGCCTGAGGAATTGGACGAGAGCGCGGAACACTGACTACGGGCGCACAAAATTGGGTGAGAACGCGTACACCTGGGATTGAATGGGAGCGCGCGAGACTGGACGAGGGTACACAGGATTGGATGAGAGCAAATGAGTTTGAGTGGTAGGACACTGTTTTGGATAAGAGCGCATGAGAGAGCCAAAGAATGGATGATTGGACGAGACCTCGAGAGATCGGAAGAATACGAGCGAGATTATTTTAGAAAGCAAGAGGTTAAAGAAAAGCTCAGCAGATTTGCTACGGGAGTGTGGAATTGGGTCACGCAAGATTGATGGACACCTCTCGTGTTCAGCAGATCACGCAAAAGATCGGATTCAAATTTAATAAACACCTCAACAGCAAATGGAAGTATCTTGCAAACAAAACTAACGAACACTAGAACATCATATCACAGAGAGACGAATAACTCACCAAAGTCACAAATGGAGGATGAAAATTAAGGCCAAAAAACGTGAAAGAGTCAAAGTTGAAATGGAGCGATATCTAACATTTGCCTTACGCATGGTGACTAAGTAGAAATTGCAAAAAATAACAATTAACAATGGAATAATAACAGAGTTGATTGAAATTTAAAAGCGAAAAATCTACAGAAAAACTCAGGAATTCTGAATTACGTCAACGAGAGCAACGAACACAATTTCTGATCTCTTTTAGAAAGTCAGAAATTCAAAACAAGAACTATGACCCACTATAATGTTACTTGCAACATAAAATAGAAACTTTCTGGGACATTGGCAAACTGCCACTCAAACAATAGGTACCAACAACTATAGAAGTGGGATATTTACAACGATTAGGTATATGTCCTAATGAATTCAAGGCGCTATATTTCAACACAAGCACAAAGATAAAATTGAAAAAAAAGTAATAAAAAACCGCGGAGCTCCTTTTTTTCGGCAGAAATCGCAACCTCAAGATAGAAAAAAAATGGTAGCTTTTGGAGTTCGCAATCCACCAGTTGTAGCCTGCGAACAGGCTCCTGTTCTAAACCAAGGATTCAACTGAAGAAATGGCGTGTACTGATTCCGGTCAGAGCTCTATTTTTGCCCTGTGCACAAAAGTGAGTATGTTGGAAGGTCAGTCGTAAAGAAGAAAGAGAAAAGCACAAATCACGACCTTGCAAATCTATGGGGTTATTCCTCTGTCTCCTTTCTATTCAATCAGTCTAAATGTCTTGAAAGTTCCTTTCATTGTTGTAGTGTGGTATTTTGAGATAGAAAATGATCACGGAAAGGAAAAAAGCCACGCCTGCCATTAAGAAGAAAAGCCTGTCTACCACGGAGGCAGCGAAATGCCATTTCTCTTTATTTTGCATCGATTCATCGTTTTTGTCGACGGCTTTACTGGGAATGTCAGAGAGTTTATCCGTTATTTCCTCCAGCTCTTCATCCATGGAATCTTTGACTTTCCCCTGCATTCGACCGTCGCTTAAGGATTCGGTGCCATTGGCCCTGCAGCCCAGTAGGCGATGCCACAATGTACCTCTCATCCCACTTTTACGGTAAATGATGCTATTAGGGCCGTATCGATTCTCCGGCAAGTTCACAGTCATTTTCATTCTCAACAGTTTTGCCATCCAGCCAACTATAAAAAAATCCACCCATGCGGGAACTCTCCTCTCCGGTTCACTAAAATGATAAAACCTCAAAGTGACCGACGTTGCCATTAAGCAAAAGGCCACCTCAAAAAGGATCACGATGAAAAATTTGCTGATCAGTGGTAGTACTTCTGATGTCTTGGGAATGTTCTCGGTGAAAATGAGCATGTACACCGTAAGGCCAAGCAAGAGGGTTATCACCAATGCAATTCTTTCTCCGGACCCTGGCGGTAACGTGAAAGAAAACACTGTCAAAGTGGCCAAAAGAATGCAAGGTAGAATCAAATTCTGAACATAAAACAACGGTCTTCGCCGAAGGTGGACCCTAAATGTAATGTCAACATAAGGATACTTGCAGCAGCTATATTTAACCACGTTTCGTGTGGCGTTTACGGAGACCAACGTCCACTGGCCATTACTGGTGTACTTCTGCAGGTCAGCAGTCTCACTCTTGCGAACCAGGTCAAGGAACTGGCTGTTGTAGGTCCACGATCCGAAAGTAAGTAAACAAATCTGCTCGTCAAAAGGAAAGAACGTTATGTCAATCTTGCATATGGATTTGATTTCAGTTGGTGCAAACCATTCGTTTCGACCATCATGGTGCAGGATAACCATGGTGTCAAAGTTGTACATCTCTCTTCCGACGCCGTTAATGCTGAAAGAGCACGAAGACGGGTTTTAGAAAAGAGTTATCAAGAAAGGCGTAAAGATAAGTGTAATTCTCTCCACAAATTAAAACGCAGTTGATGGTAATAAATCATATTTTGACCCGCAGATGATATACCAATAAAGAATTGATCCTCGCCTGTGACCCACAATCCACAGAATCACAAGTTGGGAGCGATGCAAATTGTGGCCGGTGGGATCGTCGTGACTATTAGACATGCTCTCTAAGTGGTGCACTGAAGGAAACCTTTTACATACAGACCCACAGAGCGACCAATAAAGTGATCGGCCGACCGACCGAGCAAATGACCTTAGGTCGATAAGGCAAAGAATCTGGCAGGTTGGATGTGGAGGTCGAACCACTCTATGTGATATTCATGAAACGTTAAGGCACTTTTGTTGAGGTAGGTTCAAGGTGAGAGAAAGTCTCAGGAGCACTGCGCCAAAGTGATTAAGACGCTGGCCTGGTTCTGACGGTCCCAGGGTCAAGAAGTCCACCCTGTTTCTTATTTTCCCCAAAATCGGAGCGATTACCGTTACTACTGATTAATATGTTTTTACAGCATGGAACAAAAAAAAATTAAATTTCACAGATAGCAAAACTCTCCAAACAAGGATAAAATAGTGATCCATGGCTATCTGCTGACGACTGTTAAGTAAAGTGACTGATTCGAAGTAAGATAGATTGAGTATGAAAAAACCACCACTGTTCTTACTTGTTGTACAAAAGAATATCAGGCTTCCATACTATTTTTGGATTGACGTTCATGTCTTTGATTCCACCAAACTCCGCTGGATCCCACGTAAGCCTCTTGTTGGTCCAAAACTAACGAATTACGAAAGCAAAACTTTAATGCATGTCAGTTTAAACTATTTCAGTCGCTTTTTAAATTGAGATTATACCTTATGATTTATAGTTACCAGAAAAGAGACTGGTGAAATAAGTTTTTTTTTCTTAGCCCTAGCAAAGTGGTAATAACAAAAGGAAAGACGAGGTAGCCCCAGTTGTCTCCATGCTGTCTAGATCCCAACAGAGAATGTCATTTTACGACGTTCCTATTCCTTTTTCGTGTTTTCCCAACACTGAACGCCTATGATATGACATGTTGAAGGGTACGTCAGAAAGAGAACAATGCTAAGCATGGATCAAATGCGCTTGTTCATCTTTAAGGAGAATGCTTTACTCACTCCAGATAATTGTATTTCGTTTTTCCCCCCTCCGGGATTTTTCTTACTAAGGTTGTTATCTGCCTAATTATGCAGTATATTAAAAAAAAACAACAACAACAATGAAAAACGACACGAGGGCGAGTAACTGTATCGATAAACAAACCTGTCTGACCCAAATGTTGCTGGTCATTATTTGGTCTTTGCTATCCTGTGTAGGAAGAAATAACATCAAAGAAAAAAAAAATTTAGTTGAAACGAAAACAGACGAATGTTTGAATAAAAGAAAGATCGCTTTTACACTTATAAAAAGGTTGCTAGTATATCAGAATCACAGTTGAACTCAGACATATCGGTACGGTGATACATCTTGGATTAAAAGGAAAAGCTACTGACTTTCATTGTTCCAGTTTTTGTTATCTCAATGCCCTCCCAGTTAAGCATCCGTTAAGGAGATTAAAATAACTCTAAGAGCCGAAATGTAAACTACTCACATGCACTTTGGCGATAAATAGGAAAGGTGAAATACAGACAAAGGCGAACACAGCAAGCGATTTACTATATGTTCAGGTTGGATTACACACGCAGCTGCTGAGGAAAAGTCCTCTTCTTTCCGAACGTTCACTTAGTCACCAAATAGGTAGACTCGAATTGACAGCATCCTGCACCAGTTGAGACAGATTCATAGAGTCAAGATTTTTTTTTTTTCGTTTTGCAATGTAATGGAACAGAACAACTGTAATTACGGGCGGTTCTGTTTGTAATGTACCCCTTTCTCTCAAGATAAGCCAACACACGCTCAACAGTTTATTTTATACAACCGTGCCTAAAAAGGTATTGTTTATCAAACAGATTAACTGCTTCAACTTGTTTGCGTAAACATCGATTAGTCAGAAGTTTTGATAAATTGCACTGGAAACTTGAATTTGCTTGCGGAGGTGTTCCTCACCGCGAAAAGCGTAAGCCATGAAACAGTGAAATACAGGCGCCCAGCAACATCAAAACAACTCTTGCATTCAATACAGACAACCCAACCATTCCTCTAAGTGATACCGTCGTGTTTTGCAACCTGGAATGATTTAAAAAGGTAGGTCTTTCCAACTTTTTGATTCATCATTCAAACTTATATTATACACTTATTATCGATATTATATTTCATCGTAAATGTTTGTGTATTCTTCCAATTAAAATAACAACATTGGGAACGTGAGATGAGTATATTTGGCGACTGCATATGGAACGTATCAGTTCATCGCATATTTTGAAATATCGCCAATTTAAAAGTACTTTAAGGTTTTTTCTATTCTTTTCGTTAGGAATTTTATGTATCATAAGCATTCTCAGCTGTCTAAGCTCGAGAATTCGAACGATGGAAATAAGTTCATTGATGTTTTTTATGTGTGACTCTGGCACGGAAGATGACAATTACTGAGAGCGATTCCACGTACAGTACTAAAACTGGATCTAGACCATAAAAAAGAACGTTTTTTTAAGTTCGATCATTTGTTCATTTGAACACAGCTATATCTTATTTTTTTTTTTTTTAAGAAAAAATTGAGATATGATTTCGCTCTTCTTAGTCGAGCAGGAAACTTGAAGAGGTCGACTGAAACAGGGGGTAAATGTGGCTCTCGGCTAAGGAGTTAACAACTTCAGCTTCTGGAATGCTCTTTTCAAAGTGTCTCAAAAGACGAATGTACAAACGGAGAAAAAAAGGATTTGAATGATGTGGCCACACCAATTAGAATGATGAAATGAGACGTTTGTCTGTGTTACAATGAAACGTTCGATTTAAACCTCCAAGTTTACATATCACTTGTAACAAAAATCAATCAGTGTCCAAATAAACACCCAGCAATTTCAGAACTTAAAGGAATTTAAAAAAAAATAATTATTATCACAGGAATCAGCCATCGGCTTTCGTTGATGTACCATTGTAATTTTGGGAAGTCAAATTATTCTGCCGTGCCAAGTCAACTGATTCATGAGCCACCGCCCCAGTCAGTTATTTAAGTATCTCGTCAGTTGTAACATGCAACGGGCAAATTGGTTAAAAATTATTGAAAAGTTAAACTAAGAAAGGGCCCTTTCATGTACTGGCTTGTGTTAAAGGGGACGACCTCAAAGAGATGCACCCCTTCAAATCATCAATTTCCGTCGTCACATGGGTCGTTTTCAGTACGTAAGCCCTATTTCCACTCTCGACTTTTCCCTGGTAGTACAATTATCGGGGTTTTCTGGTAAGATCTTGAATCACGTTTACTATGGGCTTGTTTCACGAGTAATTACGGTAGGCTTTTTCTCGACAACACGAGAAATCCTTTTCAAGCACCTTCGTCAAGTGGCATTTTTCATCAGTGACTACACTGCTTCTATTGACGTAGAGTTGGAAAAATTAAGTTAGCATGCAAGGACTTATCTACCCTTCAGACTGGCCAGTGACGAGTTATAAGTTAAAAATTTTAAAACCCTGTAATTAGGTGAATAAATGTTAAGTCGTTTTCTTCGACGTACTGCTTCTCCATTTAAGGATACTAAGAGAAACGTTAATTTCTTTTGATTTAAATGCTTATTTTCGTAACCTCTTCTTTAAAAACACTAGAACACAACCAAAGATTGACAAGTACCTGAAACTGTTCGTGCAAATCCCTTGTGCATGAATCCAAAGGCAAAAGATATCTCTGTCATCACAATAATTTCATTTTCGTTTAATCTTAAGTCACAGATGGTATTTTCCACTGATCATGAACCTTGATTAAGGCCCTTTGACCAGCGAGTTTGAACCTGCTCTCAAAGATCAAAAGGTCTAGAAAGTTTCCAAATCTACTCTCTGAAGGAATAAAATCATCACGAATTTTGTGAGCCAGCTCTCAGTGACTCTATGGCCGGAGTTTTAGAACGGTTTTGCCCATTTGCAATTAGTGTTAAGAATCGCTCTATCACGTTAAACTATTTTGATTACGTAAGCCTGAATTATGATCTCCCAGGAGTGAATATGTTTTACAGAAAGAAATATAGGGTAAGACACGGAATAGAGATTTGTACTTTATGATTTGTGATTTGCTAGAGAACACACAATTTATCGAGGCGTCAATCTTTTCTGGGGAGGCTATGACGATATGCTGCGAATTAAACCTTTTTCATGACACTAGGAAATATTCTAAAATACAACAGCCAGGAACAGTTTGTGTAGCTTGTTCCACATAATTCCACTGACTTAATGAGTTAACTTCTTATGAGCAGATGCGGGGTACCGAGGGTTAAGGACCTAAAGACAACATCTGTAGAGCTCAGAAGTTAATGTATCCCGTTCAAAATGTGTACAACGCGAATGTTGTTGAATAACAAAGAAAGGAGTCAGGAGGAACTCCACAAGACCCCGAGAGGAATGAGTCTTAAAAATGGACTACAAAGGTTCTGTCGCGGGATGGACCCGTTTTCAACAAGGAAAGGAAAAACAATACTCCGTAAAAGCAAGTGTCAGATCCAAACGGTTTTGTTATAAATATTCCAAGACAATGCAGCTCATGTAAATCTTGAAATGTGACAGACTAAATTTGTTAATATTACTGGCCTGTCGATGACTGGGATTACATTAGATGGCAGAGATCCCCTACTACTAAAGTCACAGATTGTGAGATTTAAACTTGCATCTTTCACTTCCGAAACCATGGATGACGTTTTAGGGGATTAACCACTGAGGACTGCTTATCTTGGCGCTGACATGATATTTTCTGTATAGCTTTCATTAACTGATGTCTACATTTATAGTTCGAGATGACGACGTTAAAGAGATCGTCTGGTATACCCCATTTATATAGGACGTAACTGTTGGAAATGTCTGGTATTACAACAGTCCGTACAGGCCTGATTTTTTTCAGGTCTGATTTTCGCTATTGCATAAATAGCGCTATCTACTGCGAAGGATCGTGCATCATACGTATTATCTATTAAGTGAGTTTTCTAAGTGGAAACTGTGTATTTAAGCGAAGAATCTCGAGTTCTTTAGAAAATTCAGTTAGACTTTGTCCGTGATGTACATCGTCCTCGAAAAAATTAAGAGAGCTCTCTTGGAGTAAAGTGGCGCGTTCTTAAATCAAAGGCTTAGTTTCTACGTAAGGGTCATTATTTACAAGAGGGTTTTGAGAAAGTACCTGGCTAAATAACGTATTATCGTATTATTCTGGCGATAAAGAAGACTGGTCATGAAGCTAGGCCATAACCAAATTATAAACGAAGCTGTTATGACTGTTGCGGTCAATGTTTTCTCCTGGCAATGCACAGCCTTTCGTATTTTGTTGACTCTTACCTTCGGAATGAATCAATGGGATGCTTTTGTTGGTCAGTTAACTCGACATGATTGGATTGCTAATAAATACTGTGCACGGTCAGGCCGAAAAAAGCTGGCAAAAACACATGGAGCGCAGAAATCTATCATGTTTCAAAACCATTTCATTTCATTACCCATGGCCTTGTCAACAATACCAACATCTTCAATTTACCTCAAGGTGGTCTACAAGGTTCTAAGAGTTTTCGTGCAAGCTTTTAAGTTTGACCATGCTATTCAATGAGCGGTAAATGCGGGTAAATAACTTTTAGGAACAAGGATGACAGATGGAAAAAGGCTGGTTGATGAGTTATCAATTTCCATCAGAAGAGATAACAAGAACTAATGGTTTTCAACTAATTGTTCATAATCTTTAGATTTGGAAATTACTATGACACAAACCAGCCTTAGCGAGTTCGACTTCGCGGCTCAGCAGGTCATGAATGCAATCTGTGCCTTTCTTTTCTGAGCGGAAAACACAGAGAGGGCGTATCTTGTCATTACGGTTGAACTAATTAAAAATATATCGAAAAGATAAGAAACCAAAGGTATGTATTATTTTGTGATATGTAGGTTATCCGAGAACTGTGAAGAAAAGTATAAAACATGTACACTCGGTCGTTGCGGATCATGTCTTCTAAATATCTCTAGTGGTCTTAAATTTCCTCCGTGTTTTATATTTCAAGCTTCTTTATCTGTTAAATGTAGGAAATTAACGTATCTGCGGGCATCTCCATTTAAAACCCCCGGGCATACCAAGCATGTATCTCATCTAACCCTTAAAATTTAACTACAGATGAGGAAAATTTTAACAACGAAATTGCTCTCCTTATCTTCATAAGGCAACTTAAACATGCAGCCGCTGATGTCTTTGAGCTGCATCGAGGCTTTCGAGGGATGTCTAAAATTGCAAAATGCATGACTCATATGGGCACGAACATCCAGTGGCAATACCCAGATTACTCCTGGATAATAAAGGATCATGTTCTTCCACCAAGAAAATTTGTTTTGGGTAAGAATTTGCTTAAATCAATATTGATGTACCGGCTTTGATATAATAACCCCCTTGTTTCCTTAAGGCTAAAAGCGCGAAAAAAATCATCTATTTCTCATTAACTCTAACGATAGCGACATATTCTGCAGTAAAGTCATCTAAGACAAACTGTTTCCATCCCAAAAATAATAATATGAGATTAAGCTTACCCTAGTTGGAAAAAGGAATATAAAGATGGGAGGTAATGGTTTTACCAAACACGACAACTTTTTAATTACTCACCAAGTCAACAAGCTGACTGAATGCCATGTCGAACGTAACAATCACTGGTTCAGATCTGTTTTGCGTTGGTAGAATTTGTTTCTCCTGTAAGTAGTTTTCCATTAGATGATGGAGGAGCCTGAGTTCGGCATCTTCGGTAGCTTCCTGAGCTGGAAAAGAAGTTTTAAAAAACCACTGTTACTTCAACGACACGAAGAAGGATTTAAACCAAGATCTAGATACCGCAGAGGGTATGATCAGTGGGCACATTTGCAGCAAAAGTGACAAAAAGACACAATTGAAAGGAAAGTTATTTATGAACAATTGCTGAACTGCTAAATGCTCTCTAATGAAGGATCATGGAGACTACTCTCATCATGTTTTTCCTATTTAAGATACTTTTTGAACATGTCTCCAGCGTGTTAACATTTAAAGAATCCAAACATTTTCAATAGGCTTCATAGTGCGAAACTCTCAGTCTGTGGTGCTTGACTAAGTCAGACGATGCCTCTCATTCGACGCATATGGATAACAGACGCCGTCCTATAACAATAACTCAATCTGACCTTCCTCTAGAACGTATACTACCGACACAGTTGGTGCAAATGAAATTAAGTTATTTTACTCGCATAGTATAATAAGAAGGTTCTTCAAGATGTAGGTGAAGAATAAAACTGCATATTTTTGGCAATTTTAAAAGTATAATCAAGACGAGATACCATTACAGCGCGTTATTGCGCCAAGCCGCATGTTGAGTAATTGCGTGTTTCCTCTTACCTATGCAAACATGGTTCAGCTTAAGTAGAGTTCCGAACAAAAATACAATCACGGCAAAGTGGTTTTTCACTCTGTCAGCACGGTACAACCAGAGGTATGCCATCGCTTTGTTGACGGTAGAGCTCTTGTGTGACCGGCTGAGCTGTCGATGGTGTGGCGATAGCACATGTGGTAATACTCCAAAGTTTCTGCTATTTTATCTGTAGCACGATCTCGTGATAGAATATAAGATCCGGTAAGACTGTTCCTAATTGGAAATGTCCTCAGAGTAGTGCTGAAGCTGTGCACTCAGCACCGTAATCTAAAACTGCGAACAGCAGGGTGACACCACCTGATAACACGTTTCTCATTATGTTTGGCATAGTTTGGAGAATGACATACTTCTCGTGAGTCATGCAGTAGGTGGATCATGATGGAAGGGGCTGCGACTGAGTGAGGGGCACAAACTAATCCGATATAACACAGCAAAACCAACACTTTTAAGAGGCGTGACGAGAGTATTGAGAGCCACAGAGTGGAGTTCTGGTAAGAGCTCTAGGATCTATTTTAAATGCTCTTCTAAATATATCATCGACAACGAGTCGACGAAAACGACCCCTATGACCACATGATATTAAAAAAAACCTCGAAAAACTCCTTTGGGCAGGTAAGCAGTTTGATTCTCTGTAAACAAAACTGTACAGAGTACTATCTATGGTGTTAAACTTCTTTACTAGGGCAGTTAGAAGTTTTCTTTGATACAGATACCTCTCCTTATTAAAAGTGGATATTTGATCCGAGTCTCCGTAAATCCAAAGATTCAAGACAAAGGGAAAGGATTAACTGGACCGATGAAAAAAACCCGTAGTTTCAGTGGACTCTAATAAACGACGATGAAAGAATTCTTCCCTTCTCATTCCCTCTTTGGGGGACCTCCTTACCAAACCGAAAAATTGAAAACAAGATCATCTTCGAACAATTTCGTTTCATTTAAGCGCAGGAGGACGCCTATGTTTTCAATCAAACAGTCATCACGGAAAAATCTAATTACTGGAAGCCACAGTAACGATTTTCTCTATCCATTCCCTCTCGCTTATGATAAATTACTCTTGATAAGAAAACGTAAAGAACATTCACCATTTTAAGAATAATTTAAGAAAGAGTACATTTCCCTTTCAAAACAGTTTTTATTTTACAGTTTTACTATTTCCTATTGCCTCTGACTTTCTTTGCTTTGTAAACGGAATTGTCTTTTCATCCCACATGGAATATTTCTTAAAATTATCTTCAGATTTAACTTGTAGAATTAAGAATTCTGGAACATTCAACCTTTATTCAAATACTTCCGGCTAAATTGTATTTTTGCTTCGATGCGAAGCTTAGATCAGCCTAATGATGAATCTCGAATGTGGCTACCATAATCAAAGATACGAATTCTACTTCTCTCGTAGACTCGGATCGATTAAACTCCGACAGCGTTCTAAAGTAACAGGCGAAGCTGCCATTTCGCCCCTTCTCGCCGAAGTCCGCTTAACAAACGTTTTCAGTAAGGCAATCACACTTTCACTTTGAAAAGGTTAAATCAACATTCCCAGTCCAGCAGTTATCAGCTCCATCCAAAACCCACAAACAGCGCTTTAAGTCGAAGTGGTGCAACAATCAGCCTTTGCTGGGCTTCTATCAAAACAACCTTACGAATCAAGTGACGATGAAAATTAAGTTGTCCACGACCGAATAAACATATCAATTATTGTATTGCACTCACCACTTCTAAAGTCCAAATTACACCCTTATCCTATTATAGGACTACCTATTTCGCCCAGTTTGAATTCAATCCCTGAGTCGTAACATCTGCGCTTTTGTTCAAAGAAATGCGAAACGACTAATATTAGGAAATAATAAAGAATAAATTTAGTGAAGAAGTGTAATTACTTGATAGTTTTTTTCATTCAATGCGAATTCTTTCTTCCATAAAATTCCCATTAAATGCCTTCCCTAAATGAGTTTTCCTGGTGTTAAAGAAGAATAGATGTTGCAGCAAAACCACTTTGACCTTCGTTCCAGATCAGGAAGAGAAAAGTTATGGTAAAATTTTTCCGCCTCTTGGAAAAACCACCTTAGCTTCAGGTTTTTTATCTGGATCTGATCAAATCGAACAGTCTTGGAGGGACTGTTTTATTCAAGTTATTTTTTTAATGTAGTTGAAAATCATCGTTAGCGGAAATAAAAACTTTCAAAGGTAATTTGCTTGGGAAGCAACCCCCCAAAATTTATAAATACACCATAGGGCCGGGAAACCAGGATTTCTTTGGAAAGAATAGATTGAAACAGATAAGAAATGATATATAATTTCAACATTTCTGCTTGAATCTTCCAAGATGTGCAAATTGAGACATGTGATTTATACATCGTCTGAAAGTATTTACGCCAGTATGTTGAATGTAATGATACGTTTTCGAGAGACAGGCGGATTTATGCAGGCAGGAACAGAACTGTATGGCAACGTCCGTTAAACTTTAAAGTGTAAGTTTGTGCTTACTGGTTAGTTTGAAGAAGCACAAACTGAAATGAAGTACACCGTTTTGGCACAATTTGCAGGGAACTCATTCACTTCCAGCTTAATATTTTTGCAATTTAAACATATGGCATTGAATAACACAAACTAATATCCCATTTCTTACCTGTTATGTCCCTGTGGCTCATAAAATGAAAAAAAGCGAGATGAATTGCATCTACGATAACCTTTTAGTTGCAATTATCCATAAGTTACCATAAGGTAACCAAATGTTTTCAGTAAGTTCCTCAGGTGGAATTGAAATCTGTAAAATGGAAGATCCACACGCAACTAAACCTGGACGATACTTATATTCATCGTGATTGTCGTAAAGAGAATTAGCTCACATTCTCTTCCTGTCACAGCAAATGTTAAACTTCGGTACATATTGTAAAATTGTCTCTGCAATAGCCTTCATATGCGGTGGCTTTCCAGCGCAGTTGGTGTCTGAATGGCATTCCTTTTGGTATCTAAAGGGTCATGACTTAAAATAATGTTGAATCGTTTCCGAGTGATTTCGTCTCATCAAGGTGGACAAGTGAAGTTTTAAAGTAACGTAGACAGAAAATCTACCTTTCATGGATTTCTTTGCAAGTATAATCTTGTAAAACAGAAAGCTTACATTGGAGAACTTAGTTGAGGTGTTTTATAAACCGTTGCTTATTAGTTTCACAAACATTCTTACGGACTCACTGTAATGAGACTCGTTGTAATGACCTCGTGACTTCCGTGGGTAATTTCAAATATACACATGGCTAAAAAAGTAGTTTAATATAATCTAATCAGAGTCTGTTCATTAACAAGTCATAAGAGCAAAAGAAGTCGATACAGAAAATTTTAAGAGAAAATAAAGTTAGACTTCCACGCATAAAAACCTCGCCGTAAGTTTATAAGATGATCTAACGAGCACAAAATCCCCAGATGTGACAAGAAATTTGCACCACTTTCTGTATGAGGGAAGTGACACTACATTTCGGTACACACTGTAAATCTCCCAGCATTATTGAAAACTGTTTAGAACTCACAACAAAAACTTCTAAGAGACGAAGTGAACACATCATGATTGAACTGAACTGTATATTTTTTGGCCGGTTTTTGAAAATTGGTTCCCTTTTCTCACCATGCCTCAGTTCTTTTAAGCGCAGTATGAGGAGAGTTCACTTCATTTCTAACTCTGAAATTCACAAGCACCGAGTCAGGGGACAGAATTACCAATGATAAATCATATCGCTGAGCTATACCTTGTGCACATGTACATGATCAGCAATTCAAAGAATTGGGCTAATCTTTGGTCTAACTGCGGAGGCTTACTTCAAATTCAAAAGCAGCGATTTAACGCCTTGATAACAAAAGCCGGTTGAAGACATTTTGTCTAGAGCTCAGATGCTTAGCTTGCATTTTTAGTCGCCTATCGCAATTAGGACAACACAAAAAACTGGCCGTTTATCTTCCTCATCGCATTAGTTACATCTCTTTCTACATACTCGACTGTAACCTTCGATATCAAGTGCATACTTAGAACATTTGTTTCGCAGTTTATCGCTGGGGCGACTTTGAAGACTTTCATCTTACAATTGACCAATTTGTTCACGAGGTAGAAAGTCCAACCAATCGATACATATCTCTCTCTTTTTTTATGTCACTACCGACTCAGAGGTAGTAGAGACTTAACAATTCAGTAAACTACCTATGAATGCGTGAGGAACACAAATGGTATCTCATAACAGGTGTGGCTAAGTTAGCGAGTTTTAGAAAGTTTCTTTGTCTTATTTGATCGAGTTATTAAATGAGTGATGGTTTATGCAACCATGACTTTTTAAAATTCCTTTCTAAATTAGATTGGCCCCAAATTGGAAAAGGTTAAACGGGCACATGTTAATTAATTGAGGCTCGTAGATGTACTATTTTGAACAGAAAATGTCGTCGGTGAGTATGCAGAAAATCGCCTTTTGTAAATTATGTTAAGAATCCGTCCCTGGTGCTCTGCACGTAAGAAACTGTTCTCAGTGTTTACGAGAAATGTACTACCTTAAAAAAAGAAAAAAATTGGGTCAAAACAATGTAGCCCATGGATGAAAAAGCAAAAAAGAAGTTAGCACTGAGTTCCACGCAATTGAGAACCTATTTTGATTGGGGAGGATGAAATCATCGCAGCTTGATCTTGCTAAGCCAAAATATGCCTCCTAAGGTTAACACCACTCTGGTTGGGTCTTAATCTGTTTTCTGCGATTAGATTAAAACCCAGCGGGCCATATTTCATTTACCACGATCGGACGGAAAGATTTTTGGCTATCTAAACAGGAACACTTCAATTATGCAAGAACCTCGACATGACCTTGTCCTACTCCTTCTTGTCTTCTACGGAATTTGTCATTAACTGGTCCGCCATTTGCTAAATCAATGCATTTTGGTTGGATCAGTTCAACGTCGTGTATATCCCGCTGGAGAATTAGGCTCTGCATCATTCCCTTTTTAATATTCAAGAATTTTTGGTTGCGGTAAATTTTCTTCTTCCTGTTTTCTGTAGACACGCATCCATCGCTTCTTTGCCAATTTCATGTAATTTCCGTTGTGGTTATGTAATTAATGTCGACTTGGAGTGATCTTCCCAAACATTTACGAATTCTAGTGTATAATTATATATATAATTTAAGTGACATGTTTAATTCCACACGAACTAAACGAAAAAGAATATAAAACATGCAAAAATAAGAGTAAATAGAAAATAAAGAATAAAAACGATGTTTGCAGAGATAGAACAAAGCAGTTATCGAACATGAGCGTGGGCCGTGATATTCATCTATCAAAATTATAAGGACAGAGTTCACAGTTGTTTATCTACAAGACTATACCATAAGGCTTTCCATGTTACATAATGCAGGACATACAAAGAGCGGTGAAAAAATGCACATGGGGGAAGCGCACGCCATTTCAGTTCCTTCCCTCTTGGCCAAAAAAGGGGGTCATACGAACTTCTCCGTTATACTCTGCGGCTCATTATTGCACTAAGCTAGAAAATGAGGCTGAAGAAATAAGACGTCTTTGCCTAGATTTTCTGCATAATCCGCTCTGCGAACCACAATCTACAGAAATGATAACGTCTGACCGCTGTGATTACATCATCGGTAGCTAGCGTCCATACCTCGCATAGTTTCAAAAGAAAAGCGGCACTAGTTGACGCAGATCACGCAGACGTGTACACGCAGACAGGCAAAGCCTTGCAGAGTCAACAAGATAAGTACGCCTGGAAATTAGCACGGAAAAAGCCAGTTCAAGAAGAAGTTCGCTTTGGCCATTTAGGAGTGATGTAAGTGCGTAATAGACTAAAACACTGCTCATCAGATAGCGTAGAGTGGTTTAAACTGTAACAGCAAAATTAAGGCCCGTTTTGAAAATCTAGCTTGGACATATTGTTTGATGTATTTTCCCTGTTCGTTTTTCCAAGTATATTAACAAGAACAGAGAACTGAATATATAAATGGCAAATGTGTTCCTTGTTTTGGACGCTGTTCTGTCGTAACTGTGTCAAGCGGTGTGGATAAGCAACCTTTGATTAGGATTAAGAAATGGTATTTTGTCGGCGTGCGTTAGCATGATCTCGGGCTTTCCACAATAAATATACCATTAAGAAAAACAATAGAGCTCACAAGAAAAAAACAAAATGGATAGCTTTACTCTTCGGCACAAATCTTCGTCTTCGGCGTGTGTGGTTTGTATTCATAAGCATACTTAAATAAATATTTCATTTTGGGGCTCGTATTTTTCACCTAAGCCGTAAACAAAAATCAATTCTTGACGAAAGGGAACAAAGCTATCGCGTTTGAACTGAGATAATTTCAGGTTCGTGTCTGTTTGTTACGTGTGCGTGATCAACATGACTACAAAGTTGGAACATGCAATCATCTTTGCCGGAAATACCACTTGTGGTGAGAAGTCGAATGAGAGAATCTCTTTGGGTACAAATTCGGAAACTTTAAAGCGGCTTTTTCCGGGGGGATAAGTGGAGCGATTTCCCTGCAGGAATAGCGGCGATGAATGTCGACAATTTTGAGAGAAATTTTAAAAGTTATCTACATGAGTGTGACGTAAACCAATTTTCGGTACCTCTGAAAGGTGCCCTAGATGTAAGTTAGAACAAGTAAGAGAATTCTCGTGTATTTTGTTAATATACAGAGGGTAATATGAATTAAGACGAATTTCCAATGTTCCCTGCAAAGAGGGCATTTAGACATCAGATCCCAGAAATGTCTCTGTTAAAGCTGCAGTTTAGCTTAACGAGCTTACCTAATCGCTCTGACTCGCTATTAGGCGTCAATATCCGCAATTTCAAACTAGAGAATCACCCCTTGCTTTCTGTGGTGGAGCCCCCCCGGATTTAAATTTCAGACGTTGTACCGCTATCAGAGCTAATCGGATAATTTCTTGAACAAATGCCAGTGCGAGTAATAAAACCGAAAAAAATTCATTGATACCTGATAATAACACTTGCCATAACATATACACTATTTTTTCAGTTTCTGGGTTAGGGAACCGCTGCGAGATTCGAAAATTAAGGATCTGCCCTTGGTAACACGAGCGAACGGGATTTAAACCTCAAAAGATAAAAGGTTACATTGTCGTAAAAATTCTTTAAAGGTTCAGAGGTACCTCCACATTGTCAAATCATTTCCCCTCCTCACTTAACTGAGTTAATTATTGTAAGATTAAGGCCACCAGTGACTTAAATATCGTCTAAGCTTCTATTTTGAGGTCATTTTGGAAATGCAAGAGGAATGAAAAACTCCAGAGTTCACAAGCGGGCCTCGTCAAAAAGAAATAGTTTAAACACCTTATGCGCACATGTTGGAGCAAAATAATATTAAGTTGTATCAAACGAGCTGTCCCTTCGTCGATGGAAACGTAACATAAACTGTTGAGTGCAAACAGAGATAACGTTCTCATTAAACGACAACAATTTTCTCGCGTTATCAGTTATCAGACTTCATCGTAGACAACAGTGTTACTGCAGATTAATACTCGTGTTTCATTACCAATCGTTTTTAAAGAGTGAAGTAATCAGTCGTTCGGTGGCAAATTGCATTTCACTATTCTTTTGTCCGCTCCTAACGGGGAAATACCTCTCCAATTAACTTTGCTGTGGTCTGCACCTTTTTGTGGTTTAAAAAAGTTCCAAGGTAAACAGAAGTCCCTTTATAAAGAGGTCGGAGTCCACTTAACCAATTTCGATAACGTGATTAAGACCAACTCAGGAAGTCTAAGAATATACCACATCCGTTTAAAGGTTTCTTTTTGTTTATCAAAAAGCTCGCCTCTCTTGACTCCGACTGTGATTTCGCTGTTGAAATATTGGTTTACAAAACCTCCTCCTTCACCGGCCCCTTTATTCGCAGTAAGTAAAACTTTTCTCATGTTTAAGTTGTCCTGAAGTAAATAGCTCTCAAATGAACATAAAATTTAATCATAAGCGCAAGGGGGAACTGTCTTACTCACTACACGTTCTGTAATGTAAGCAAAGTCGAAATGAAAACTAACTAACAAACACATTGATAAAAATGACCTGAACAATTTTATGGTGACTTCAATAAAGCTCTGAGTGCACGGAAATTCACAGGATTTGAGGACAAATTAACGTCCATTCAAACTGGGAGACAACTGGCTTTCATCAGTACCAAAGTAAGGTACGCATGCGTGTTTCACAACCCACATGACAACGTCACGTCCTTTACGTCATGAACGGAAATTTAATAACCTAATTTCAAAAATTATTTAATCTATTCTTAGTTCTTTCCACGCATATCAACATAAACCAACATGTCGACCTCTCGATGACATATCCTTTGGTGTGTACTTCTTTGTTTTGCGAGTTCCACGATGATTTGAGGTCTTCCGGAAAAAGTGAAGTGTCCCGACGGGCCACTCACACCATGTTCTTTCTCATGGAAATGCAGGAAATCAAACACCCACACACCTCCACCAACTGTTTACAGATATAGTACATTAAATCATAGAAAATCGTTGTCCGTTAGCCCGTCATGTTTCATTATCATCCTGAGCACATCCTGTATTGTACACCATTCGGTTAAGGTGAGGTGAACTGTCTACTAATGCTCTTATAAATGGCAGTCATTTGACATCTAAGCAGACGATCTATATCAGCGCTATCTATGACAAAACCGCAATGGAGACAAAAAGAGGTTATTGCACGAATTCCTTCACGGAGCTGAGTCACGTTTTCTGAAAAACGTCTTCCAGTCGGATTGAAACTGTTACTGAATAACACTTTGTTGAAAAAGGAAAAACAGCTGAGAGGTAAGAAACAATCAAACCGTTAAAACTGGAATAGATAAGGATGGATTTTAAAAAAGATTCAAAGATTCGGAATGAATTATCAAAGACGTCCAAAAATCTGCGAAGTCAGTCTTCCTAAATTTCGTGGGACAGGGAGTTACCTTTTATTCCTCTAAACAAGTCCCTCAATTTTGCAAAATGTATGCCTGAGGAGGCACTGATATGGCAGCTCTCATACACATCTCAGAAGTCGCGCGTCAAAATGCTAACTTCAGGCATTTTCTATTAATGATGTTATTTCAGACATCAATAAACATCTTTTGATCCAATTTTAATGCATCAAGTACGAATTGTCAAACAGATTTCTTGTTGCCGTGTGTCTGTTAAGAAGTACACCGCAGATGACGTCAGAATGTGGTAAAAACAATAGTGATCCACGAAGCGCAGCTCAGAAGTGCCTCTCTAATGTTCTTACCAAATCTTGACGTCTTCTGTGATCTATTTCGAACTATTTGTATTGTATGATAAAACAGCTAAACGTTTTTTAAAGATGACTTCATAGATCAATAATAGTTATAATAATATTTCATATAGTGCAAATTACATAAATGTATGCTCAAATGCGCTTCAATAGATCCAGTAGATCATAAGTTAGAACCAATCAAATTGCGTGTAGGATTCGGTTAATTATAATATAAAAAATAGTTCATAACAACTTCCCATCGAGGAAGTACATTGATATGGATTCAATCGCTAAGATTTATCAACAAATATCATACTGTTGGGCATCTTAAATATGGCCATTTTGGGAGTATTAAGTTCCAAAGGCAGGGATAGTCCTTGGGTAACTAGTAGCAAAATGTTTCAAACTACGTCATGGTGATTTTGGTTTCCTCAGCTGAGTTGATTTAGTAAATTGGCCACCGTAGAGTTTCAAAGCTGACGTTTCGAGCGTTGGCCCTTCGTCAGAGCGGTGTTACTCCCACCGACGCAGCAGCACCATCCCACAGTTTCTATAGAAACTCAGCCCCCTTTATTCATTCATACGTCATGGTGACCTCGCAGAAAATAGCTGGGTTTGTGTCTGGGTTTTTAAGAGTGCAAAAATATCATATTTATTTTATTGACAGGGGAAAAAGGTATAATGTAAAGAGGATTTTTAGAACCTGACTTTAGACGTTATCAGCTTAGTTAATTGGCTTCACGAGGACATTTTCATGCTAAGTGTTTCCGCAATTCTATCCACCTTCGAAAAACCTGAGTGCAAGAAAAATGCAAAAGCTTTTACTATTTTTATCACAAGCATAAATTTCCTGTTGCCTTTAACGTAAAGTAAATTGTTAGAGAGACGTTCATTTAAGTAATTTGCCCCGGGGCAAGGTTAACGGATATGCATTTCTATCAGTTGCAAGTTTAATTTTTGATAAAAAAATACAATCTCCACAATAAAACATGTAGAAGTACAGAACGTATTCACACGTAAAAAAAAAAACCTTTAAAGAAACTGTACAGCGGTTTTACATATTTCCAATCAAACAGGAGAACGGGGCTAGGACTTTCTGTGGCACTGAATTTTCACCTGCTCTCTATCAAGTAGCTAAAGAAATGAATATACAAAACTAATTCAGCGGCTTTAAGCAGTGGGAAGCCACAAGCTACAATCACGCGACTAGTACCACGTCATAAATCAAGTTAAACTTGCTCCTTTTTCGTGATAGAAGAGGTGAAATCAAATCCAGCTTATTTTGTTAAGAAGTCTTTCCCGGCTGTTCCTGCATATGCTGAAATACGTTGCCATAGTGCTGTCTTACTAAATACAATAGACAATGAGAAATTGTCAATCTGTAGATGAACACTAACACCAACATTTAGACCCTGTTATGACGGCAACGGTTTTAATCGCTGGAGGTCTTTCACTTACCATAGGGAGCGTCAGCCAGTTACCATGAAAGTGTTTTAGTAAAAGCCAATCACGTAAAACACAATAAGAAATAATTTGCGTTATGAATGATTTCAGTGTAATCTGTGAGTTCCAAATTAACACCAATAGCGAAGTTTTAATTTCACCTCTGTGCTTGAGGTTTACTCGCCCATGACTTGGTTGAATTTTATTATTATTATTGTGCAAATTCGACGAAAGGTAAGTGTTTTCCATTCTGGAGGGAAAGTTTCTCATCCATGAAGTTGTTATTGACAACTTGACAGTATAAGTTGTGTTTTGTTTTCCACCAATTGTAAAGTTCCATAGTCCCATCAATTTTGCAGCTACATTCGACAATTTCGTAGAGTTGAAGTGAAATCATGTTTTGTAGTTGTCTCAACTGATTCTAGAGCTAACTAATTTATCAAGCTGCAGTTCTTTCGCGGTTACATTTTCTAAAAATGATTAGAAGCGGTGATCACGGATGAAGTTTAACATGTCTGACCTTTTTTTTAGACCTGTTTACTACCAAAAGCTTTGAATTTAAGGCAAAGCAATAGAAATACAACTATTAAATTGTAATACATCGTATTTAACACTTCGATCGAATATAATTGTACGAATTAAATACGAAACAACCAATAGTGTTTCGTTGTTTCATGGTGGATTCCAAAATAGTTGAAAGTGAAACGATTTCGGAAATGAAAAGCTATTTTACAATGTTTTAAACAGTTACAAGCGTTTTAAATTGGGTCCGCAGACACTTGTTATTTGTACACAGGATGGAGCACACAGCATAGTTTTCACGATGGTTCACGGTTTGATCGAAATTTAATTTAATTTTGAGGTGTTTCACGACTCGAATCGATAGACATCTCGAAAACGGCAGGTTATCTTTGGTCTTATCACCTAGCAACGTCTTTCGACAGAAACTGCGATGTGATCAACTTAATTGACAAAACATTTTAAAGTAAAACTTTGCAAAGAAAAAAATAGTAATCCCATTTTTAAAGCGTCATTCATGTAATCATCTTAACAGCGATAGCCAGCTAAAAGTCGACACAAATTTAGTATCGATCTCGTAATCTCACAAGGTATTTATTAAGAGGAGAGCCGTTGGCGAAATATTATATATATGATGATATATGTTCGACACAAGCTGTGGGTGTAGAATCAAATTCTTCGCTGCGGGCAAAGGGCGCTCACTGACGTCCACTATAGTAATCGTTTAAAAAGCTTACACCTGTGCAACGGTTTTTTGTATAAATCATGAAACCTGCTCAGATGATGCTGGAAACAAGAAATTGTAAAACTAATTTAAAGCACTTAAAAAATCACGCCGGCATATCGACTATGTATAAATCATTATACTTATCCCTTTCAAATTTTCTCGCTTGTTTGTTTGCTTATTTCAAATTCGTCAGGAGAAAATTGAACTGGAAGTACATAAAATACGAAGCAACATGTAGCTGGTTTTAATTCAATAGATTAAACCATCATTTTAATCCATCACTTGTGAATGTGAGTGTATAGGTCAACTAGTTGGTTAAAAAATTAGGAAAGAAAAAAAAACAGAAAAAAATAGATGTAAAAGAGGAAAACAATAAAAAACGTAAAAATATAACGGAACCGAACACATTACAAAACGAAGAAAGGAAATTGAACTAAAATTAGAAATGAATGCATTGACAAATAAGTGAAAGAGGCAGTTTCACGAGGCACATCTAGTTTATCTTCATCACGATAGTCATTGCAAAACTAACTTGCAGCACTGTGCTAGGGTAACAAACAGCGGGTCATCTTACGTGTGCTGGCCAGCCCTTAATTGGGAGTGTACCACAAGATATTATGTGGGTGTTTTCTTTGACGGGGAGTAGGAAAGGGGGGGAGGGGTGGGGGAATGATTGTACTGGTATTTAGCTACTATTACGAAAGCTGATTTAGCGAATGGTCACCCGTTCAGATACCGTCATCTATAAACTCTATATGCCAAAATAAGCAAGATTATTTTTTTCCTGAACACACCGTCACAATCCATTTCATATGCATATAGCCACCGGATCGTCCTCCCACGAATGAGTTAATTTTGGTTCTGTTGCGCCCGAATACCATATAATTGCGAAATAACTTGCGTCATACGACTCATTTCCTCTGCATTGTCCCTTCGCCAAAAAAAAAAATATACACAAATGAAGAAGCTGAAACTTTCAGTGTATCATGGTTTTGGCTGGAGGTGCAATTTCGAATTTTCTAGACAAGTACATTGAAGAATCACTGCTGACATGATTACAAGTTCGCCAGAGAAGTGACGTTTATGCGTACATACCTCCGGTAAGGAAAATGATCCCAGGGCACGAACAAACTTTAATCTCTCTCCATGCTATATTTAAATATTTATTTTCTTGAAAAGACAACAAAGACAAATTACCTGTTTAATCGTACTAAAAGTACTCCGATTGTCTCGTTTAATATTCTTAAAACGTAGGTACTAATCTCGAGGAAGAAGGGATTTTATAGAACCAACGTCATTAATCATTTTTCCATCCCACTCAGACAAAGCATGAACTTAACCTTCGTTGGTGGATTTTCATAAAACTGATCCACTGAACCACAACTGAAATATATAACAAGAACCAAGGGAGTAAAATTAACAGCACCAAAGAAAACGGCCGATGTGATTTCGATATCTCATGAATTGTATGAAAGAAAAACGACGAGAGTCAATTTCAGAAATCTGCCTGTCTTTGTGCAAAATATAAACATGATGATGCCCACAAGTGACCAAGAAGTAATTTCGCTTTGGATAATCATATGTGGCCGGGCAAGCAGGCAATGAAAGTTGACAACATTCGACACAGAGGGATGCTGTTTCGGTTAAAATCAAACTTTCAAGAATAAGATTGAAAGATGTATAGCAGTGTAAGCTATCTTGGGAAGCCGGGAAACGTTTAACTAGGTCGACTTTTGTGATGTCTAGTGATTTCGAATATTTCTTCTGTTCAAACTATCATTTCTTGACTCTCAAGTCGTATCACTATATACAGAAATAAATCAGTAATAGATAAATTTAGCAATATTAAGACGACCCCTCTTTATCAAATCATGGTGTTTTCAGTTTGGGCAACCTTATATAAACATTGCAAGATATACTATTGAATAATTGGCAGGTTGAAGATCTGATTGAAACACTTATTGGTGGCTTTTGATGGTGTTATCAACCAAGGGTTGGTCTGTTGTAGCAAGCCAGAAGATCATTAAAAAGACATAATGACAATTAAGGAAGCGGGGGAAAAAAGCCTTCACGTTGTTGTCAATAGTGCTCATGCTGTTTACTGAAAATGCTAAAAGATGAAACGGTGTTAATTGGATTTTCCGATTTTCCTACAGCAAACATCCTCCTTCGAAACTGTCCAGCGAAATTTCGCCCCTTTTTGAGTTGTGCATTTTTAATCTAAGACATCGTTAAGATTCATCATGAGTTTTATATTTTAGTAAATGTTGAATTTTTGGAAGGAATAATCATTCTAAAGGAATTATCTCCTGTTCGTGCATATTTGGCACTTAGTTGGAATCCGTCAAACCGCGTTAGTCATGTTGTGAAAAAAGTCGCCGTGAGAATTGTTATGAATTCTTTATTGACAAAACTAGCCATATATATTTTAAACAACATTTCTAAAGAAAGTGACAGAATTCCCGGGAGACAGCTATTACTGAGTAATTAGAGTTTTCATTTTTTTCAACTTCTCTAACCATAGTCCTTTTCCAATGATAACATAGCTTCTTATTTTTCCTCAAGTAAATTAAAGTAACTTTAAATCCCATCACACACTATTCACGGGTGATTTTCCTGAATGTCTAATTTCGTTTTCAATAAAACGCGCATCTGCTCTGGATATCTCGAGAACATAAACCAATTTTTGATTCAAAGCCACCGATATTTGCATGAGGTTCACGTACTGAGTGTTTTAATTAATAAATCATTGTAAACAAGAGATTAAGATATCTCAAGAAATAGTGGGCATGACTATAATCAATGAAAACTCATACAATTTCCCTGTAATGTAATTGCTATGACATACTGGAAAAAAATATTCGATAATTTCCGCTCGGATTTCGTGTTTTTCTTTCTTCTTAATGATTCGTGCACTTAAATGTACTATATCCATAGGGATATGAAAGCTTGTGTTTAAATTAATACCTTTATCTCGTCCATATTTACTTTCAAGGTGCCCAAAATACTTGCGCAATATATTTCTATTTGAAGTATCGTATGGAGAATACGATTTGAAAATTGTATCATTCTGACTGATATGGTCTCATTGATAGAATGTTTTCGCCAATCTAAACCTCGGGGTTTGAGATCCGCCTTCAGGGCCAAACATTAAATTTTAGGATATGTCTCCTCCAAAATTGTTTTTATTATACAAGTGATTTTTACCAAATGTAAAAATAACCCTGGCAACGTGCAACGTAATTAGCATTTTCCCAAGTTCCATTTGGTGTTTATTGGCCAAACAAACAGACAAGCATTTGCAGAAACGTAACGAACGTATCATTCGACTCTGGAAAAGAAGGCTTGGCTCGGTCATGTTTTACCCTTCAGTCAAACCACAACTGTTCACCTTGTTAAAGGCTGGCTGAAATTGTGCGATTCACTTCTGACATTCTTCATTTAGTTAAACCAAAATAACTCAACGCTGTGACTCATTATCACAGGAAGAGCTTGGTATACAAGTCCGAGGCGAATACCAACAAGGTTAGCAGGTTAGTAGAAAAGCAAGTAATTCTAGCTGTAACAGATACGTTCTAAGTTTGTTAGCAGCTTTGTGTATTCCGCAATATCTTCAGGTCGAGAATCCTGACCAGAAGCTTTTTTTAAACAACAAATGAAAAATCGCTCTTTTCTAATCGGTTTGGAAGGCTAGCTGTGTTTTAATGTAGCAGCGAACATGGGAGTCTACGCGGGGTGCTATGGTGTATATGAAAATAACATCAAGTACAGTCGAGAGAAGCGAGTAGACGTACTTTAATTATGGAAAATAGACCTTGACAAAGCTGATCCAATGAAGGCAATTTTTTTTTCCAAAGCAAAACTTATTCAATTAGAGAATATTATAATATGGAAGCAAAGTTCTTTCAAGTCGAAATTCAGATCACCAGCTAAAAAAGTATGGCGGTAGTTGCTGGTCGAGTTTTCAATTGGAGGCTAATGAGCTGAATGGATATCTTTGTGCGAAAAAAAAAAAGTCTGACGAGGAAAACTCAGAAATCTTCTAGAAATTGAATTCCCTTAGGTCAGTGAATTAAAAAAAAGCGATTTTGAAATTTCTTTGAATTTTGATAGAGATCTAAATCGAGAATGAATCAGTTTAGCTTGTCAATCATTTCCGAAAGCGTAAAAAATCACACAGACTTCAGTTGAATAATAAGTTCATAAGCTTATTCTTTTCGTCCGTCAACTAGCCTTTAAGCAGAATACAGATGGATCACATTTTTTCTCGTATTTGTGAGGAAGTTCGTCCCGACTTACGCGTTTCTGTTTGACCGAAGCCATCAAATACGGAATGTAATAAAGACAGCGGACTTTTAATAGCGTCTTTTGACAGGAGATACTTGAGTTTCCTCAACTTAAAACCCAAAGGATTTTCAATGGAAATTTAGCCAGATTAAGCCTATTATTCATTTTTTAAAACTACTTCTTTTTTTAATACACAACACAATTCAAAACTCTAGACGCATTTGGCTCGAAAACTCAATTTAAGCCTTAAGTGTTACAGGGACAAAAACGAGTTTCCATGTACGGCTGACCAAGTAACATCATTCCCCATAACGAACTTAGAAAAGCTCAGCAATTAAACAAAAAAACACAAGCGGTGTGTCAAAAAGAATAGTAAAAAAGCTAGTCACATTTCATTTGCAGAGGTTGAGTCGTCAGTAAGTCAGTTTACGTTGTGGTCTGCAAATTCATTTTGGTGGACGTGTTCAGCTGTTTCGCATGATTTCCATGTACATTTAACAATTATTCCACGAGCGCGCGTTGGACATGAGATGATAGATAGCCAACGAGGCGCGTAGCGCTGAGTTGGCTATAATCATACCATATCCAACAAGCGCGAGTGGAATAATTTTTTTTTTAAAAAAAAAAACGCCTCCAAGATATTAGACCAACCTTCTCGACTTTATTTTGTAAGAAGAAACCGGATGTTGCAATGTACAGATATACATTATGGTATATTGGCTCATATACCATAATGGCCAAGCCAATAAAAAGTCTTGAATTGCATTATCCTATGATCCAGTTTTTAATAATCAATGTTATCAGATAATGTAAGAAAAAGGGAGACAACTGCACAAGAACTGGTCCCAACCACTAATAGCGATGATGTTATCTATCGTAAACTCTATCAGCCAAGCTCCGGTGTTCTGTTTGCTACACACTCAAAGATGTCCAAATATCCTTGTGGTGACCAATTTAGAGATAATAATTTTTTTTTTCGCTTCGATGTGAAGAGGTAACCCAAGCACGATACATGCTCGAGTGCCAAATTCAGAAGAAAGGGAACATAGGCAATTTCTAGTTAATGAATTTAGTTTACCATTCTAAGTTAAAGAATCTCTTAAAAGGATTTTTGCGTTCTGTACGAACTGAATTTGAACAAATGTTCGGTGCAAAGTTCTTTCCGGCCTCAGTGCATCTAATTATAGTCAGCAAATAAATCAGCCTTGCACATTTACTTGAATGCTTTAATAACATTCAATTGACGGCGCAGTGTAAGCCTTACAAAATCAAAGCAATTAGTGAAACGCTATAAAGCCTAGTAACAAGGAGCTCCTCTCAAAACAATAGTAGCAACTGATATACAGTAAATAGTGAAAATTCAATGGGATCCACGGCTTGCACAGAATGTGAACACCACTTCTTTGGTCTTGGTAACAATGCAAAAGCCTCAGAGAGACGCTGAGACATTACGTAATCGCGCCTATAAAATCTGGTAGCGAGCCTGGATCCAACAGAAATTGTTATACCTACATGATATAGGCTGGACTTGAAAGGTATATTAGAGGAGGTCCGCGGGCTACCCCGATAGAAAGCAACTGCATTTTAATTTACAAGACGCCCAAGCCATGATCCATTGAAAATAGATTATGGAAACAAAAGCCATTGGCAACGGCACTGCGACCGACAAAAGGGTCATTTCATTACGGTTGAGCTCGACTCCCAACCAATAATTATTTACCATGAAATAAGTGTCGCTATTCACTTCGACCCACTGAATCTTTTCCTGTTTAGTGTTTTATAATAAGTTGGTTTCCAATTTAGACTGAAGTATGAGGTACACTGTAAACAGTTCATATTCAAACTTAATCTCCATAAACAACGCTCAGCGAATTGACTAGTTTACGTTAAATCATCGACTTGTTTAAAAAAAAGAAACCACGTTCTGCACACGTTTTTGTACACTTGAACACGCAAAGGATGACTGATGCGGAATTTCTAGACTGTTGATGTTATTGCATTTCTGTGATAAGGGCAAATTGTAGACAAATTCACTGCAATGTTTTGACGTCTTAAAGCCTACAGTTACATCTTTACGGTAACCCATCATCCAGATGCGATAATGACGGTGATTTAAATACCGTTTACGCCTCCCCTACATACCTTTATTAATTAGTATTTAGCGAACCGTCGCAAATTCTGCTCATTTCTTTTTAATTTCCGCCCAATTTTTGACGTAATATTCAAAAGGACTCCACCAATCTTAGATGAGACGACTGATATTTGTTTGTAGCGTTGTCTTTAAGAGATTTAAGTGATATTCGTGTCATTTCTACATATCCTAAAGTATTTGAGCAACCACGCATGACACCGCGACTAAAGTACCTTTGCGTTTCAATTCTTATGTGCTCCATGTTTTGCAGACAGCTCTGAAGCACCCCTGGCGATGGATGTCACCTTGAGAAAGCTGTATTTGGGACTGTTATTGATCTTAGAAGCAATTGACAGTGGTTGTGCTCAAGGTAAACAAAGTTGTTTGTTGTATCATTTCTTTCTCTCAACCATAGAGAATAAGCACTGCGTTTAATTGTCCTTCTTTCTATGCACTCCGCGTGCGTACGTTTATTTTACATGTCTTAATCCGTTATAAACGTCAACTTTAAAGCCAGGATACAAAATTAATAGTGATCAATAACCTATCGAGGAAAAGGCTGTTTTTCAGTGTTCCTGTTGTACCTGTCAAGTTACATTAACTAGTCAGTTCAGCAATTTCAATAGCAGCCACCAACTACGAAGAGATAACTGAAACTGATAGAGGTTGAAAATTAAACAAACCAGCTGCGTCCAACGCTAGCTAAAAAGAGCAAAGTGTATTTTGGTAGACAGAACTAATTCCCGTCTTTTCACGTGGCCAAAGCGGAAAAAAGCGGGAAGAGACTCTTATCTAATAAGCTAATATCTGCAATGGCTCTAAAATGATCTGCGTTCCCCCCAGGACTTAGACTTAAAGTCTTGGAAACCCGGTAAATTGTGGCATTCGGTGTCACATGGTGTAAGTTAACTCAACTTAATTTATTACTTTTGACTAAACTGTTGTTCAACATTTGATAGTGGAGCTATCCGTTCCGGTTTCGTTCAACCAGATTATTTGAACTTGATACAATGAACGTTTGAGTGTGCCAAAAGTCAAAAGGAAAAGTCGTCATGACCAGAAGAAGCGTAATGACATATTCTCGAGGGATGAAATCGCCATGAAGCTTTACCAACTATCAACGCCACTCATTTAATTATCTCGTTAATGACATGTTCTAAATGTCAGTGTTTCTATACACACGCTTATTGGTTCTCGTTTCACCTGCTGGCCTAACTTGTCCTTATAATAGCTGTTTAAGTTCTGAATGTAATGACAATAATGTAAGTTGACCCTCTTTATGTGTCAGCAAACAGCCGCGCGGTAATATAATTGTCGAGAGAGTGCAGAAGACCAAAAACTAACATTTGCATTCAATATTCTTACATGCAAGAGAGAGCAAAAATTGTTTATCAAAAATGTTCAAAGAAACTGCTCTCGAGAGAGTGAAACCGTGTTCACGATGATTTGACTCTACAAGACTTGTTTCTTGAATCTTCTTTTCATGATTTCAAGACATTCTGGATTAGTATTTCGCGATGCTGGTTCACCCACCCACTGAGTGAGAAATAAGAGATACCACCTAAAATATCTCTACTTTACCGAAACAATGAGAGTTTTAATACCCTCGGATCACAGACTCACAACTACTGGCCTAACAGCATTGTCTACGTATTACTTTTTAAATATCTCTAGGAAACCACGCAAAGGATTACGAGCAAATGTTGATGCGAGACCTTTTCAGAGACTACAACAAGGACTCCCGCCCCGTGTTCAACAAAAGCGCAGCAGTAAATGTGGAGTTAGATGTGGCTTTTAGCCAGCTTGTCGAGTTGGTAAGAACGAGTAAACACTTTCGCTTTCGAGCTCTTATAAAAATATCTCATCAGCTAAATAGGCCTTTTTGCCAGATGGACAAGCAAATACATGGTAAAGCCGACATGATTTCATCATTGTTAGCAGAGAATGACCCACAAATTAGCAACGACAAATGCTTTACCCTCTGCTGGGATCTTTGAAAAGTGAAGCGACAGATTGTCAAAAGTTATTAGCAACAGTGAGCATTAAACAATCGTCTTAAACAAATTTACACCACAATGAAAACGATGGAATTCTTTGAAGAAACAATGTCTATTATGTTGTCAGCTTTAATGAAAATACCAAGGATAGCAGCGATTTTATTGTTGTAAATGACAGCACTCTAGACGTATCATAATTAATTCATTACTAAGAAAGCAAAAAAGACTGCAAAACAACATGCACCTGTTACTTAATTGCACAAACATCGCTGTTAGAAATTTCAGTGACAGTTAAGTAGGCTATAGATACGCGAATGGCTCCTGGAATTCTCCGCTACCACGTGCCTAACTAACCCCTCGGAAGCTTTTTCAACAGACCTTACAAATTAGGTGATTTATGTTTAGTTTTGTTTTGGGTGATGAAGCGTCGTATTTGTGGTAATTTACAGAAGTGATCCGAAGTTGACAAATGATTGATGATTTCTAGACCTCCCACCGTGGTTTGTTATCAAGTCCTCCGCAAACAACACCACAACGATTGCAAAGGCTTGATGAATTTCATATCTCAAACATCCATCTCGAGAAGAATGATGAAGGGAAAATAATTAAAACATCACATGCCGAAATGGTCTACCACAGGAATTTCATTAAGATGGGAACTTAACTACTGAATCTGAAATTTGCTCTGAGAAAAAATGCCAAAAGTGTTCGAAGCCACAATCGATTTTCGATGACGCTAAGTAAATCGAAACACCAAAAAATAGCCGACATACCTGTGTGCGTGAATCTGCAGAGTGTAATTTATAACTACACCAAAAGCAAAGATTACGTAACGCCTAAGATCGCTGTGAATCACTTGTTCTCAATCAAAAACCTAAAGTACAAATGTTTCTCCAAACTTTCTTTCTCACTGAAATATCGGGAAATATCTAGACCTCAAAGTGAGGAAACTGGATGTTAAATATTCTTTCCTTAGCTAGAAAAAGTAAAGTGAATAAGACAATCATAGGTATGGCTAAAATCGCTAAGAAATCGTATTTTGCTGTATTTATTTATACCAGGACGGCAAGGATCAAATATTGTCAAGCAAGATATGGATTCGCCAGGTAAACTTCATCCACTTCCTGAAATGTCTTGTTAAACATGGTATTCCCCAGGATACACTAACAGTTTTTGTGTAGATGGCGTGGTGCCCGTTGATGAAATGATTATGTTATCATAAAAATTGGGGGTTGGACCCAACTTTTTCTGCTATCAATTGCTTGATTAATAGTTCATTCTTGATGCTTTATACTTGAATTCTTTAGATATGGAAAAATCCTTTCCTTTCATGGAAGCAAGAAAAATACAACAACATCAGTGTTATCAATGTAGATCCAAAGTTGGTTTGGAAGCCAGATCTTGTCTTATACAACAAGTAAGTACGCAGCCAAGTGCCAACCGTAATTGGGCAGTGTACTTTGTCATTTTACTCTTTTCACAGAGTTTAAGTTGACCATAGGTACATACATTAGACTTAGAGAGAAAGTGCAATCGGAAACATAATCCACTTTGATCGATAAACCTGCGCCAATCTATCTTTCTGACAACTTGAATTTACTGCTTAACAGTAGTGGTTAACAAACCTTCATTTATAGGAAACCATTTTCCAAATAGCCCATTTCCAAAGTACCTTCGATCTCCTTTTCAAAGCGAGGCCTCGTGCACAACCTATCATATAATAATAAGTTTTCCTTCTCATGCAAATTAAACTTATTTTCATAAGAACTGATGGGCATCAGGCCTCGTTTTGAAAAGAGACCAAAGGGTAATCGGAAATGGCCCATTAGAAATTTATCATATTCTGATTCCCCTTTCCATTTAATCTCAGTTCAAACCTCTCAAAATAGTAGAGTTTTTTTGGCGGGAATAGGGCACAATAACATAGAGCTTACACATTGCCTTGGAAAAAAGTTTGAAATTTTTTTTTTCCTCAGCATTGGTATTGGCCAGACGGGAGCGATATATAACTTTGACACAAAAGTAGTCATAGAGAGCGACGGAACTCACTATTGGTATGCCCCAACTGAGATCAAAAGCATCTGTAAAATCGACATCACCTTCTTTCCATTTGATGAGCAAAAATGTCCACTCACCTTTGGATCTTGGACCTACACAGGAGTTCATTTGAATCTAACGAATAAGGCACCAACGGCAGATCTAAGCAAGTACACGATCAGCGGCGAATGGGAATTAATCGCTATGCCATCAAAACGCAACGTCGTTAAGTACAGTTGCTGCCCAGACCCCTATATTGACGTTACGTACAAGGTTCACGTTCGTCGCAAGGTGCTCTTCTACCTAACTAATCTGATCTTGCCTTGTGTTGTACTTGCAGTGCTAACAGTGTTCTCGTTTAGCCTGCCGCCCGAGTCAGGCGAGAGGATTTCCCTCGTCATAACTATTCTCCTTGGTCTTACAGTGTTCATGTTGGTGTTCACAGAGAACGTTCCCCGCACTTCAGAAGTGATTCCGCTGATTGTGAAGTACGCTTTTACAGTCATGTGCGAGGTTTCGTTCGCCCTGCTAATCACGTGTTTTATCGTCAGGATTTACCACAAAGATCCTGGCAAACCCATGCCGGCATTCTATCGTTATATCACATACAAGTTGCTAGCGCCAGTCCTTAGAATGCAGCCTGTTCCGGCAGGGCACCATGATAGACGACACTGCAAGGAGCATCTCGAGCGAACGAAGCACAGCCGCTTTCGTCGCAGCAAACCTTATGCTTACATCAGCAAACTGTTCGGCAACTACCCCAAAGAGACCAGCTGTCGATTGGAGCTAGATAAGCATGGGGACGAGATCACTGACATCAGCTCGGGAATTTCGAGGCAGTCAGACCCAATGAAATGTCCTTCGTTAGATAAACTAGAAGACATAACATTCGGTTTGCACGCCATCATCGATCACCTAAAAGACATTAAAGCCAATGAGTTTAACAAGAATGACTGGCATTTCGCGGCAAGAGTGCTGGACACTTTTTTCTTTTGGGTATTACTTATAGCATTTGCAATATCAACAACTATGTTTTACTTCTCAATTCCATCATCCTAGTGCCTAAACGCTGATAATTAAACGTACCTTGCAAACCATTTGAAATGGTTGTAAACGGATCCATCGATGATTGTCAGCTCCGTAGAGTTTGATATGATATCTTCAAGAAGAGACAATGATACCAATGAAAACGTGGACAGCCTATAACCTTGAAGAAAGGGTGCTATTAGCCTATTAGCAGCGTGACAAAGTTTGTAAACTTTTCCACTTATAAGATCTCATTATCACTTCTGAGTACGGTCTGCCACAACTTGATTACAATTTTAGCTCTAAGAAGTTGGTGTTAGGGGCTGACCACCTAACTTTTGAGGGAGGGGGATGGGTGATTTTGAAAAAAAACATTTCCTGCACGCGCTTGTTGGAAGAAAAAAATTGCATGCAGCCCAAATGTAACAGAAAAAATGTACCAAAAAATCGGAAAAAAATATCCTGCACAGCAGATTGCTAGAAAAAAAATTTCTTGATGACCAGAAATCACCCACCACCCCCCTCAAAAGTTAGATGGTCGGCCCCTTAAAAGCTTTTGGTGTTGAAACCGTTATCACCTTTCTGCCCGAAAATGCATTGAAATTTCAAAGAGAAAGTCCTCTCTGGTCACACCTGGCAGTGAAAGTCTTAAGGAGCAATGTTGCTATATTTTATACTCTCAAGGAAAATAAAAAATATCATAAGGGAAAGATAGCGAAAAAATCGAGGAAATAATAAACCAAGGGTGTACAAGAATGGTAAAGATTAAAACAGCTTGCTCATGATAAAACTGCAAAATTAAGGCGAAACACAAAACCGTGATTTGACTCCGTTGACCATATGAGAGAGTTAATAATGAAGTGGCATCTTTAGAAGCCATAAGCAGCCTCTTAAACACGGCTTAGGCTACAGATTTAAATTTATAACGAGTAGGACAATGTAGATGGGGTACATTGTAATCGAGTGCTTGATGCTAAAAGGCTTAATGCAGTGTATAGAAAGTAGTAATTTGGGACACTTTTCAAGTTGATGCCAAGGTCATAGTTAGAGGATAGCATTAAAATATGTTTATCAGAGATTTTTTTTAAAGCTTGCGGCACAAAAAACAACACGTTTTAGAAGGTTGTAAATAGCATATTGAACACATAAGAGCAAGTTTTCGACTGAGTGTCCTTGAACCAAAGTGATAGCCATCTCAACAACCAATCACTATTAGGGAAAAAGGAACCAATGGGAACTCAAAGTAAAGACGAGCAAACTTCCCGAAGCGCAGGAAAAGGCGAGTACCCAAGTCACGATTGGTTTTCGTTTTGTATCTACCTTTTTGAGAGGGTGGCGTTAATTTCTAGAACTATAAAAGGGCTAAACAAACCAAAACCAGTGCAGTCTCGCTGATTGCTTTCGACACTCAACTGAAAAATTGCTCTATACGTGCAAAATGCAAAGAGATTCTTCGTTCCCTTACAAAGGACATGTATAGCTACGCCAAACACGACTGATCAGTTTAAACTGACCATTGAATCAATTAACCAGATACAAATGTTAGTAATTTTATGAAAACGACTACAATCCCATATAATTCAGTGTATTTTTAAGTTGTAATTTTTCTAGTGATCGAGTTGTTGTTTTTGATAATATCTTGTCGTTATAAAATACATGTTTGGAAGGGCCGGCGTGTGCTTACTATGTCAATGGACTTAAAAAGAATTGAACAAAACTGAGTTAAGCATTGACAAGAACTGATAACATGTATCAGCATCAGAGCTCGATTACAATGTCGCCACCCGATGTCACCAAGCGGTCAACTTGGTTGAGCACGGCCGTAATAGCCACTTTGAAAAAAGTGTTTTTAGGTGAAAACACAGCTGGTTTTAATGGACAGAATTCTCTTCTTACAAGGACTTTTGATATTGACCAGATAGCGCAGCAGTGAAAATGCCTGATCATCCACAAGAATGCAAGCAAATGCATTTTTATTTAGTGGTCATTCTTTGGTCTTTTAATACTAATCTGTGAATTAATGGGCTTTCTCGTTAATCCTAAATTTCTATAATTCCGCCTCAAATCTTCTATACACTCCAGATATTGATTCACATCCAGGAAACATTCATGACCCAAAAAGAGAATTATTTTACGGAGGTGCGGATCCGTTGGTAAAGTGACCACTGAAAAGAATGCTCAAAGTTTGTGTTACGAACTTTTACGATCAGCTACAAATAAATTTCGTCTCGTTGCCTTAAAGTCCTCGCTAAATTTTGCCATTTTTGATTAAGTCGCCTCATTAACCTTAATTTTTCATTTTAGCTTTTCTTTAGACTCTCTTCTCTCACTGAAAAAAAAAGCATTCCTTATAATCGCGCTGATTTGAAGCTCGTTAACTTCGAAGGCCCAAATCAAACGAGCCTTGACTTCCTATGATATGCTAACAACTCTTTACACTCGATAACCGTCTTCCGAAAAAGTTAGTGAAATAATCGCTGTCCTGAAAATTTATGGGAATGGTAACTCCGATACCCATTGGTACATTACCTTTCTTGAAAATAATTGAAGTTCTGATCATTAATTAATCACATTTTCCTTAGTTATATGATCCTGAGCTTTTTATTATTAACAAGTAACACTCTCGTTGCGCAATTTAACGTGGGTAAAATATTGACCAATCAAATTTGTCCTGATTCTCTCAGGTGAAAGCCAATCAAAAACCTCAATCAATCAAAAAGACGCGAGGTAATTGAATTGGGATCGAGAATGTACTTTGTAAATAAATATCGTGATGTGTCAAGCAACACTGACGAAAGGAAATTTCATTTTCTTGCTTGAAGGACCTGGTTGAGAATGAAAACAATGAATACAAAAAGGACGAGATCCACACTCAAAGCAGTTAACAAGGAAGATGATTAATTCGTTTTCTGACAGGTAGGAGCATAAAAATTGGAAAAAAAATCATGATTGACATCGAGACTTTACATTTACATTGCACTGACGTACATTTTCGTATGATTTCACCTCTGAAGTTGTAGGATTTTTTTCACAGATTTCGCTGTAGATGATCGCTTTGAAAATTTCAGATGTCAACTTATACATGAATTGAGTTGAAGGAACATCATCGCTGTCGCCTTCTCAATAAGAGGCTTAAAGTACAGGAGATAAATATGAAAAAAATATTCAAAAGCTCCATGCTGTCAATGGTTCTTTGTTCCGTACCTTTAGCGACGTTTTGTCTTCATTTTATGGTAAACCACAGGTTCTGAATCGAAAACGTTTTAGGATTGTTTAAAATACAACTGGTCAGTGTTTTCGGCCAAAGATCAGTAAAGAAACTTTTGGCTAGACTCCATCTTAAATAACAAGGAGACGGAGGCCAAAGAGCTCTTCGAGCTTTCTCCTGGGTTTCGGTGTAGTTCTCTATCTAAATGCGAGCGGGAAAACAGTAAGCTCATGATTGAGCGCAGGTAAAGTTGTAAAGCACTGAGGAAGGTTCACAGACTCCCAGCGGCGGGATCACGATCCCTCTTTTCGTGCTCTCTGCGTCAAATAAATTAAAAGAGACACGCAAACTCATAAAGCGATTGTCGAACACTAAGCCAAGAATGTCACAAACTGATCAGCTGCCAAACGACCTTTAGATGGTCGAAAAAAATTTGGTCATCAACAAATGACCCAGATTAGAAGAAAAAAGAATTATGCTGACATCTCATTGGTCACACTTTCACATTTGTCCTACTATTTAAACAATACTATTGCAGTCATTTTAAAGAAATACGACAGTATTTTGTCTTTGCAAATTCAGAAATAATCTTCTTAAGACCGGAATGTAACTGCAATTGTAGTCGGTAAGATTTATTTAATTTCGGTATTTTTTTAAAAAGCGCTCAGTCCTAGCTGAGAATTTCGGGCGAAAGAATAAGCGTCGTAATCAAATGAAAACACCCTCTTGTTTAAGGTACAGATTACAATGAGCACTTCGATCTTTTGAAGCACAATGTTATTCATGCCGCCAACTCGAATACATCTTGCTATTTGTTGCCCAAAGACAGAAAAATAAAATGGAAAAGTTCACTCCGAATAGAGTCGCGCTAAGCTGATTTCAATGATAATCGACAACTTCCTGTTTAAACCAAATTCCCTACTCAAAGACAAACACAGCTCGGTTTTTAAAATAATTGCAAGGCATTATTTGACAAGTTACTTCTAACTGCAGTAAAGTTGCAATGGTAAAATGAAATTTCCAAAAAGGCTCAGAAGAAGGACTGAATTATTCACATTTCATCCGTTTCTCATGGCGCAGATTAGAGTAGGAAATGTGGTGTCATTCTTCCATTTCACTCTCTCAGAATGGATGGAATTACAACGAAAAAAAATTTAAAGAAAACACTGATCGAATCTTTGAGAAATATTAAAATCATACAGTGTAGTTAACGTGGCTAATTTATTTCCATTTAGGTCTGAGTTTTTCTTGTTATCCAAGACAGCTTCTTTTACGTATGGTGCACGATCCTCGCAGTAGAGAGCGCTATTTATGCAATAGCGAAAATCAGACCTGAAAAAAATCAGGCCTGTACGGGATTCGAACCACTGACCTCTGCCATACTAGTGCAGCGCTCTACCAATTGAGCTAACAAGCCAACTGGGAGCAGGCCGTTAAGTTGATTCGTAATAAACCCGTGATGATAAATCAGATACGATGAATATACGAAGTTCATATATTTTGAACTGCGGTATTAGATACGTATGATGCATCATACGTATCTATAACCGCAGTTCAAAATATATGAACTTCATATATTCATCGTAACAGCTTTTTTTCTCGATTAGGTACAACCACAATTGACAATGTCATGAATTCACTTTTATGCAAATGTACTGACGCCCATCCAAAGAGAAGTAGGTAGAACAGTCTCGTCAACGCTGCTTTCTCTGATTTCCTCGCGATTTTTGTGTAGACACTGAGACTAGGACCCCTCATCTACAAAAAATACTGACAGGATTTGCCGTATGTTATTGATGAATTCAATGATATTTCTAGACATTGATCAAAACGTGATTAGAAATTTCTATACACGAGATTCACCCTTGCAATCCCAACCCTTTCAATTCTCCTTACTGTTTGCCATAGAGTTCTTTTGGTGTTAGTTCTGAGAATTTGGTTTTGGAATTTTTCTTTTTTTGTCGTCACTTGTCTGCTTGATATTGTATTGATATCTTGAGGAAAAACTGTCACTAATGGGAGTTACAGGGCTTAGAGCCGAATCCAATGGCCTTCGCTAAAAGGTAGATAAAAAAAAGGTTTCCTCATAACTGAGATTCTCCGATGGAGCTAATGGAATGGTTTCGAAATTCGGCTACCTTGCAAATGTGTCATCCAACAATCAAGCGATTGTCAAAGATTTCTCGATCATAAAAATCAGCTGGCAAATTAATATAGCTATTAAAATTGCAAGACCGTGCACTGAATACAATTAGTTCACAATAGAAGTACAAGTTCTTCTTATCCAGTACTAGAGCACCAGCAGCGGCTGTCAATTATTTGCATACTAATTAAGTCTGCATTGAGAACTATTGCTGATGGTAAAGCCCACCGACAGAAAATCCGACTAAAAAAAGTGTCACTTTTTTGCTTTAAAAGTGCACTGGACCAATTGATTACTCAAGACATTTAGCTTTTCCCTGCTACAGTCGACATGTAAGAGCCCTTTAATAATAATAATAATAATAACAATAATAATTTCATTCTTACATTGCGCGCTTTCCATGAAATGATCAAGCGTGCATTACATCTCAATAGTAGTTATTAAAAAATATACTATGATAAAATTAAAGCATACAGCATATGTTAAGATACTAGCAACTATCATGACAAGATTTTAATAGCTTTATAGCTTTCCACAGTTGTTTTCATAATGCATAAAAAAAACATTTTTAAAAATTGATATTGTTAAACCAGAACAATCAGTTGCTGAATTTAGAGAAATAATTTAAATGCCAAAATCTGTTCAGATAAACACACAATTGCGCAAAAATCGAAGAAACATCCTATATATCAAATTTGAATATATCAAAAAGGGCGGAAAGCTTTTATGTGACACAAAGAAAAGCAATTAAACTTTCCCTTTGACGTAAACTGTCTCTTCGTTCACAAAACACTTCCGTAGGTGACCAGCTATGATTCATTTGTGAATAATTACGATAAAGACTTCAATAAAGATTCTTAATGCAATAGGAGAATAAGAGAAAATCTTTTTTACAATGATTTTGCTAATTCCAGGATCGTTTGCAAGTATCACAATAGTCGCGGATTGCTAACGATACGTCGAATGGCCTCGTTGACCCTCATGAAATTGTACCGTTCATGTCTGTCTTTGCTCATGAAGAGTTTCTGTTCTTGTTTCTGTGCTTTTTTTTCTATTCGTTGTCTAGATGTTTCAACTTTAAACAGCCGGTCAAATGAACTATTCGACAAAGGAAACTTGAACAAAGTATCGATGCTTTACGAATGTTTATAAAACTTTAAAGTAAATCGCATGACAGGAAGTTAGTACGAATGTGGTGAGTTGTCGGTCAACAGTTCTGTGAAGAGTTACAGCTGATGTCTGTCTCGATTTCTGCACATTAAATACTCCACAATTCTACTAACTAATTTGACTTCAAAGTTTATTTTTAAGCAATTATTTCAATTGTCAAATTCATTGAGCAACTTTTTCTACTGAATGCGTGAGTGAGCAAAACCACCGAAATTATCGAATTACGCAACATTTCAAAACGTCATCTACCAATGCTGAGCGGAAATCGTATCTCTAAACAAAAGAATTTGAACTTTCACTCTCCTATTCAGTCTCCATAGATATATGTTGGAGCACAAGCGCGCGTGAAACAAAACGATGCTCTGTTCATTTGCTGGGAACGTTCACGAGACATGGAAAGCCTTTCTAGTTACTGGAACAGTCTTGGGACTCTTTGGAGCTACTACATCACAAGGTAAACATAAAATTAGCAGTCGGTTCTAACTCGTCCACTTTACTTTGTGTTCAAGCTTCTTGAAATTGAATGCAATTTCAGCCCTTAATTTATATTTCTAATAATAATCGATGTTAAGTTAAGGTCAATGTTGTGTTCACTGAATTCAATAACAGATGCTTCTATGAAAAGAAAACACTACCCATCATTATGTTCTTGTAAACATCCTCTTGTCGTTGTCTCACCCTTGCATAGAGGTCTTACACGTCTCAAACAACTTTTTCAGATTCAAATATTGCAAATGCATTTGTAAAATAAAAGCTGCTTTATGTAACTTTACGTCCTTCAGTAAACATAAAATAATTATCTTCATACCAAAAAAAAAAAAGGGTTTTTTTTTACGTCCCGGGAAGCATGTTAGGATTTGACACCCACTTTACATCTGGTAATCAATGCTTGACGTGAATGCGCGCGTCAAAACAACATTTCAAAGCAAAGGTTATCCTAAACATTCGCGCGCGTCAAAACAACATTTCAAAGCAAAGGTTATCCTAAACATCTTCCAATTATAATTAATCAGATCACCCAGTTGTAAGCTTATGAAGCAATGAGATAAAATGCAAAAACATTTCCTGCCTAATGAAAGGAAGTTCATTCTTGCGTCAGATCAGTTATGAAAACCATTCCTTACGAAAATTCTGGATACAGAGAGGCTATGGAATCAACCCAGTCAAAGTCAGAATGGAACCGCGCCGTTTGGTCTGAACAGACTGGCCTGTTTTAAACTCTCTTTTCCAGTTCTTTTGCTTTCTTTTTTTTTTAACCAAAAGCAAAAGATATATATCTGCAAAGTTCTAGCCAAGTATCTCATAATAGTACCACTAAAATGACTGCGGCTAAGAAGGCGACTAGAGGCATTTAATCAACAGTAAGCTATCTCTTTGTAATAAGACGGAAGTGTGTTTTTCTCTCTGTTTTTGGTTTTGGCAAAGTCAAATCATGATAACCTCTTAACGGTTCAAAGGATTGATGTTACAAATTGAGCCGTACAACGTCTGTTCGATATCGAGAAAACAGCGAAAGATTCCCTTAAAAACCCAAATTCTTCGTGTTAATGGACGCTTGAAGTTGAGTATTAGAAAACATTCGAAAGTGTACTTTTGTAAACTTCCACACGCTAAACAACGATAAGCCTTAAACAAACAAGCAATAAACAGAGTGATTGTTTTTTGTTTTTTTTTTTGGCGTTTATGAACGAGCGCCCCCTAAGGGAGAGGTTAAATTTGTACTTTTAAGTATGACTACATTCACGAAAAGTACATCTGCATCTGTTAAGGAAAAATACTTTGTTCATGTTGCTACTGCTATCTTTTCAACGGTGAAGGGAACGTGGAAGGGAATAAGTAGGAGCGAAGGTTGAACGTTAAAATTTTTTTCTTGTGGCTTTGATATTTTCCAGTCATGGCCTGTTTCTTTCATCCATCATTAGTATTACTGTTTCTAATATTTTAATAACTCAACAACAATGAAAGGCTGACATCAGCAAAAGATCAGACGAAGACTGAATGAACGGAACAAGACGCTACCTCATCTTGCAATGAATTCGCGCAGACCTTTCAAACGGCTCACTGCGATTAAGACCTCCTCAAATACTTTGTTCATGATTTGTTGATTAAAGTGATTACGATCAAAACTCAGTTGAATCAACTGATCGGATAGGACTCCTGAATTTTTATTGAAATGACGTCAGTATTAATAAAAGTACATTGTGAATCTGTTCGTTCACTTTGTTTGGTTCGTGATGCTAGTGAATTTGAACAATAGCAGAATTCTACCCACAGAACAGCTACACTTAACAAATTTCAATGTACAAGAGGATAAGTTCAATTAAAGCTTTTTGGGCCTTTGAATGTGGCTTAAGATGCCTTAAGTGATCACACTCCCTGGGGAGATTTTCAAATGCGGTTTTGTGCAATAACACCGGAGACAAATTGATTAAGGTCTCTGGAAACCTGTTGTAAAGAAATTGAAGAACTCACGGAGTAAAGCGCAAAGTCTGGAGTTTGAATCTTGAGCACCATTTAGTAAAAATTAATAAAAGCTTTAAACTCGTTCAAAGACCGGATGCAAATTTACAGAAGTATTGAAATTCATTTGATATCGATAGCTCATTGGGAAAAATTCACATTGTAAACATTACAGGAACTCGTACTCAACAAAACATGAATCTGCACGAGCACTGACTGCAAGGTCTGCAAGCAACAAGACTAAGTAACAGGTTTTTAATTTGGTTTCTTTCCATCGATTCTTCTCTTTGGACTTAAGAAAAGCAAACTATCTCTCCCCGCTGACAAAATATTCCACAATCCATCTCCTACCGTCAGTGGATAGCAAATTTACATATAAGAATATGAACTGTCGCTGTGCGCTATTCAAATCGATGCATGGGATGTCAGTTGAAGCAGAAGATTGAATGAAAAGATGGGATCTGGTTTTCTCGTGGATTGTTTTACTGCAGGAAAGAATATCACTCTTCTTGTGAATCTCCTAGCAATCTTTGGAGTTGTTACATCTCAAGGTAGAACTACTGCATCATTACGGTTTGAATTTCTTCAATTGCGTATGTTTCTTTTTCCCGTGGTTTTGTGGTTCACCTAGATGTTTATCACTATTCAGTGTTAAAAACTAGTATGGAGCTATAGCATCGATTGCTCACTTTAACGATGTCTTACGATCACTTATAACTTGTTCTCGGTTTAGTTTGGGAAAACGTTTTGTTTAGTCCAAGTAACAGATGTTTCTTAGGCATGTAATCCATCTCTCTTTCTCTTCGTACGGCGACTCATCTTTCTCAGTAACTTTAAGTTATTACTCAAGGCATAAGCAAAAGGATTTTTAAATACAAGTCTGTAAACAGGTTACTTTGCCCATGCATAATTGCGCTGGCACACACTATATCTTTTAATTTTGGGCCAACCTAATATGGCCTACCCAGCATTGACAAAACACGGCTTTCCAACCTTCAACCCGAGCCAGTAAAAATCTAAAAGAAATAATTGTTTTATCGTTCTCATTCTAAACGTAGGCGTTTAAGTCTATATTTAACAGGCGCGTTTGACTTCTAGATGGTCAATTGAGATGTCTCCTTCATGCCATTGTAAATTACTCAACTTAATTCACTAATTAAATCATCAAAAGGCAAATGTATTTTTCGTCAAATGCACATGTTTCTTCTGGTTATAGAATCATTTGATTGGCCAATTATCCAAGTCCCTTTAGGTAACATTCTCTGTTGTCATCGCACTCAATATGTTCGTTGGCAATCCTGGAGTTTTTCTGCTTCTTTATATTTTCCTTCTGTATGTCTACATATTTTACTTCTTAATCTAATATCGTACGTCCTTTTGTAGTCAATAACGTTGGATTAACAAGTCCAGCTGAAAGATATTCAAAAGTTACTAGGCGGGATTCCAATGGCGTGGCGACACCAACTGCGACAGAGAAAGAACTTGAAAATAAAATGAAGGGTCTTCGCGTTTTTGGTTGAGTGTTGAGTTCGGATTGTTAAGTTCATCGGGCTTAAATAAACGTGATAAACTAAGTCATGAAATAACCTGCGACACTTTATGTTCCACAAGGTCCAATTGAAACAATGAAGACTTACAAGGCAAAAAAACTTGTACGATATCTAAGGAAATTTGGTAAAAAGTTGAAAAGAAGTACAGATTTTAAAGCCTCAACTACGATTAGTTTTGACATTCAACCAACAGTAATTAAGTTTTTCTTTGGTGTTTTGTTCTGATTTCAATCGGCTCAAGGGCAATAATAACCCTAAAAATAGGACATAATAAAAGTTCGGTATAACTATCGAGATTACTATCTCCTGATAATTGAAAATAAGTTGCACGTAGAAAAACACAACTCCTGACAGTCGACATGCAAGATGTTATACCTTTTTAGCCGAACAGTTTTTGTTCAGAGATGACGATACCTACCCTAACTCTGTTAAAATGTTGTACAGAAGCAGACTGTATCTCGATATTTCAACTCATATTTAAGCGTCACAAGAAAATTACCCTTTAGTAGAAAAGACCTTGCAACAACCCTTCGGCTTACTTCCACAAGTGATTAACTTAAAACTTCTCCCTTTAATATCCCTACTTTATCCAGCAAAGAGGTAATGAGAATATTTTGGTTTTATCAACTAAGTTGGCCACCGCAGAGTTTAAAAGCTGATGTTTCGAGTGTGAGCCCTTCGTCAGAGCGAATGGTAATGG